TTTTAAAATAATAATGATGGTTAACTAGTTAGTTAATCTCTGGAGACAAATTACTGATTTGAATAATTTAAAAATAGTATTTATTCATTTGACAAAAAACCCCAACAAATTAGTGTACTTGAGAGATATTAAGAATCATTTTTAATTACCAGCATATAGTTATAGTTTACTCATGAGAGTGTTATTAAGTGGATAACTGTCTTAGAGACAAGTAATACATTAACAGTTTAAATGTAATTTCCTTTTATAATTGTTTGTGTCTACTTATGAGTAGTATGATTTATGAATAAAAAGTATTTAACGATTTAGTGAATAGTTAAATTACTCTAGTTAAACTATCTTACTTAGTAGTTTTAGAGGATTATGAGTGTTATCATTTAACTTTGATTTATATGTGACATTATAATTTCATTTTGTTGTTGTTGTATGATCCTAAACCATTGGTAATATGATCATGCGTGACTGAGCTCAAGGTTATGAGTTGGGGGCGTTACTTATTGTTGCTATTTAATTGTTTGACTTGATTCTTGTGAACATAATTTCAATAATCTTTTATTGGGAATATTACTGTTGACTTTCAGGTAATTTAGTGATCGTAGTAACTGTGTTTTGCTGTCAAGTACGTTTGTAGATTATCAATGTAGATTATCTATGTTGAATGATTGGGGGCCTACTAAAGTTAGACGTGAATGGTCTAATCAACAGCTAACGTCGTAATCACACCTCTCAGTCAGCACCTGACGTGGATTACTTCTGTGTCGTATCAAAGTACTATGGATGTTTTGAAGACTGTACAACACAAAAGACCTAATATATTAGTAAGAATGAGTACAGAGAAAATAGTGAGACTACTACCTCATGAGCAATTACATGGAATACGATTAGCTGTCCTTGACTTTGACAAGGATCTGTAGTGACCAACTTTTGTCAACAGAACGCGATTGGTTCGATGAAAACAATTATTATTATAACCAATTGTACCAGTGACTGTTTTACTGTGCTCGTTTGTTTAACTGTGCTAATGACAGCCATTATACTTACTCTCCCGTTGACTTTGAACTTGTACGAATCCGGTTACGCTCAGTAACCACACCTGTACTCCTTTGGCACGATCTCGGTATTCTTTCGATACCACGAGATCGCCAACAAATACATCTCGACTACAGCCATCATCTGTCTTCTGATTTTTGGCCTACCGGAATCCTATTGGTCTATTGGCACGTAGTCTTGTAGAGGTGTTCATAGTCAAGCTCAACTCGACACCACGCTACAGATCGATGATCTGTTTGATATTCAGTGACTCAACGGCCCAGTAACAGTTCACTGGCTCTACATGTTATTTTTCATAGGAAAAATGCTATTGAGTGGTGGATGAGCGTGATTGTTGAATTATTTAGCGTTTTTCTGGCAAAATGTGTTTTCACAGTATGGTACCGCGTAAATTGCGCACAAAATTTGTGTTTTGATTTAATCGTTGATTGTGAGTGACTTAATAAAACTTCATACATTGCACAGAAAAACGCAGTGGTTTGACTTAATGGAATAAAATCTAGTTTTTTAATTGTTATCTGCATTAGAACATAAATTTAAATTTCGGTTGTTACACAGATAAATTACACAAGTTAACTGCTATCCTCCGGTTAAAACAGATATGGTGAAAGCTCGTGTAAGAAAATGAAACTTACAGTTTAGATATTAATTGAACAATGACTAGATTCACAAGCCATTTTTCTTTTCAGTTAGTTACTAAAGAAAAGGCCGATAAGAGATAGCTGATTTAGAAATCAACACTTTAAGTCACTAGGCATTTAGGTGACCCGGTTTATTATCACATAATACTATCGGTTATGTCTTTCTCATCATGCTAATGATGTCACTGCATTCAGAGAAACCTTCTTTAATCAATTGAAATCATTTGCAGTTGTTATCCCAGAAGCAGCTTACAAGTAACGTTTATTTCATAATAACTATTACCATTTTGCTACTTAATATACCATTTTGTTGTGTCATTTTTTACAGTTTTGCTTGACTCGTAAAAAGACACTTGGGTTTGTAGTTTTATTTCTTCTTAGTATATCATTGATAACTGAACGTATCGTTATATCATGAATAAGCTTTTTACTGGGATCCACTAGAATGTCTTCTACTTCCTACATTAATTACTTGTTATATCAATATCTAGAAAAGTACACTAATTATCGCCTAAACAAAGACTGGACCGGCAGAAAATGTTGAAAATTATCTTATCATCACCATAGAGTCAGTAGTATCTAGAATAATAACACGAGCTGCAAATAGTAATTACAACATAAATGTTATTTTGGGATGGTAGATAATGGATTTTGGACTACATCAATGTACTCCACAGCAACATTAAATTTGAAATGTCAGGTAAAAACATTGCTTATCTATCTATTTATACAGACTGACTATCCCATTTATGATCTATCAAGAATAAAGAGTGTGGAATAGTAAGGAACTATCTAACCAAGAACGCCTGTGTAGGTAGATTTCTTGGTCACTAACATACAGCTCATTCGGATATATGGGACGAGGATAAATGTGCGGTTTGAATTAAAACCATGAAGTGACTTTATATAAAAAGAAATCTTGAAGTATTTAAATTTTCTTAAACTGTTGTCATGAAATTCACTCATTTTTAAATGAATTTGGATATATTTGTGATAAACAACGTTTGGTCATGTGGTCTCTTTTGGTCAAGTTGAGGCCAGAATTCTCTGGTTGTTTGCTCACAATGACCATAACACAAAATGCTGGTGCAATAGAGCTCTTGGTAAAACAATATTTTTGTACATTTCAACCCTCACCTTCAAGCCATATCAATGAGTGCTCCAATGTAGCTCAAGTGGAGCCTTGAATGTGGATTTAAGTACTGGAATTGTACATCGGCAACTGCAACATCTAAAGAGGGATTTACCTTCTGACCTAGACATTGTTCACTCTGTCATAACGGGCGAAGCGAATCCTTACTTACTTACTTACTTACGCCAGTTACTCTGAATGGAACATAGGCCGCCGACCAAGCATTCTCCAATCCACTCTGTCCCACTCCGCCTTCTTTTCTAGTTCCATCCAATTCTTGTTCATTTTTCTAATGTCTGTCTTCATTTCTCGACGGAATGTTTTCTTTGGTCTTCCTCTTTTCCTTTGACCTTGAAGATTCCACGTGAGGGCTTGTCTCGTGTCGCAGTTCGGTGCTTTCCTCAATGTGTGTTCCACACACTTCGAGCGCTTTCCCCTGATTTCTTCCTCTGCTTGGAGCTGGTTTGTTCTCTCCCACAGTAGGTTGTTGCTAATAGTGTCTGGCCAACTGATCCGAAGTATTTTGCGCAGACAACTGTTAATAAACACCTGTATCTTCTGGATGATGGCTTTCGTGGTTTTCCATGTTTCGGTCCCATACAGTAGAACTGTTTTGATATTTGTATTGAAAATTCTGACCTTGGTTTTGGATTGTGAACAGTTGTTTTGAGTTCCAGATGTTCTTCAATTGTAGATATGCTGATCTTGCTTTGCAAATCCACGCCTTCACATCTGCATCAGATATACCGTGTTTATCAATGATGTTGCTCATATATGTAAAGGTTTCAACATCTTCCAAATTTTCTCCGTCAATTGTAATTGGATTCGGGCATGCTGTGTTGTATCGGAGAATCTTTCTTTTCTCTTTGTGTATGTTCAGATCTACTGCTGCTGAGGCTGCTGCTACACTGGTCGTCTTATGTCAATGCTGCGTTTGCTATAGGAGAGCCAGATCATCTGCGAATTCTAGATCGTCCAGCTACGCCCGAGATGTCCACTGTATCCGTGCTTCCCTTCAGATGTTGACGTTTTCATAATACAGTCGGCCACCAGGAGAAAGAGAAATGATGAGGGTCAGCAACCTTGCCTGACACCGGTTTTTACTTCAAACTACTCTGTCAACTGTCCACCTGGAGTCCATCTGAGGGCTACTACCGGTCCCAAGCCCGGATAAAGTAGAAGGGTTGGGTATGGGGTTAGCGACCTCATCCCGTAGAAAAATAACTCACTAGAAATACGCTAACCAGAAATAAAAGTTCAAACCATTTAACTCGCTAAAAAAACGCTAACTACTAGTGAATTCTCTTAGTGTAATGTCCTCACATTCTTTAAGTGAGGGCGTGATACGAGGAAATTTCAAGCTGATATACATCATACCATTTTCCAAAGAAGGAGGATGCAATAAACTTTCATGCTAACAGGACGTAGTTTTTCTTTATATACACTCAAAGGTCATGGAGTGACTAATTTATGGCGGCCCATGTAAATGTCTAGTATCTAGTTCCTTTTTCTCACTTCAATGGCGCATCTTCAAAGTGTAAGAGAATCAAACTAAGACATAACCGATGTAGTTTATCTAGAACTGTCACCAGTTGTTGAAGATCTAGGTATCTTAGCTACTGATTTTGTAAAGTCTTACTCTGACTACGACAAAAATATCTGTAGGGTAAATCTTTAAATCGTAATTCTTGAGTGGCTTTGATGGTGAAAATCTTTATTCAATTTTGTTTGATCTCTTTGAGAGTACCGACATAAAGTTTTTCACCCTTCAATCCCAAGCGATAAGAATACTCTGGAACATATCCTAACGTAAGACACAAGATAAATTTGAGGACCAAATTTCAAGTTTGTAGTGAACCCATTTAACAACTGGGTCACAACCTACTAAAGTTTAGGAGACTCGGAGGAGTCATTTCGATGATCTGTTGTTTCATGAACACTCCTGATTATTCTGTTAAATACATATTTAATCTCCAACTTCTTTGAGTGCGAAATCCAAAGATCATAGGTGCAACATAGTAAGCGGAACCATAAACACACTGATCAATAAACTAACAATTGACCAGTAACAAAACTTCAAAGTTAAACTTCTAAAAATACCTGTTGTTAATTTACCAGTATATTGTTTTAATCCATCACGTGAAATTTTGTCAGTGTGACCTGTAAAATCCGCAAATCTCAATTTGTGGGCAGTTGCATCTAGAGTTGTACAGTTAACGCGTAAATAAACAATCTCGTCAGTTTACTGTAATAATGTCGTCTAAAGCAAAAGTAGTCTTAGAGACTTTGGTTGTAGGTTTATATTCAATGTTTTCTCAGCGTTCAGATTGCTTTAATCTATTTCAGTGTAGTAGACTGTGACACATGTCCAGCAGACAGCTTTGCAAACTCTTTGGCGGCTGACCAGTCTAGTTGTTCAAAAAAGTGGTTGCCGGTCAAGCAGCTTCATTGGACGAAGAAAAAAAGAATACTGGTAATCAATCTTTTTACTCGTAAACAGCTGTTTTTTTTTCGAGTTTTCCAATGTTTGTCAAATAGAGCTTCACTTTGTCCTGAGTTTTCAGACAGTATCCGAGGCTATTAAATAACAAAGCTTTGGGTAATCGCTGAAAACTATTCTGTCCACATCTCATTGGTCAACCGGTTGGTACCTCCAACTACCTTATAAGAAGGAATCTTATATAACTATGCTTTACATATCTATTTGGTTTTGTTTATAGATATAAATAAAATATTGCGTGTATTACTTATTGTGACAACAGGTTTTGGGGGATAACCCAATGGGAACCTCTACCCTCGAACATGTAGCCTACTCACTATTCTAAAGACTCCTACTTTCTTATAAGGTTTCTTTTTAACTATATAGTTTCACCTACCTATTTTACCCATGTAAGTATATATACATATTATGATATCTATAAATAACAAGAGGAGTTTGTCGACATGTTGTGTGCCGAGAAATCCATATTACACTACGCGTATAATATTGCACAAAGCAATTATTATTGGTACCATCATGATTATTATCATGTTTTATGAATATTATTTGCATAATATTACTCTAACTCGCCCAGTAACTCATCTCTGTTGAAAGTTCTGTCTAGTAAGAGCGGTTTTGATTCACCAAGTGGTCGATCTTCTGTATTTTATCATTGAATACATAACCAATACAATATTCGCTTTTCACCCTCTCATTTTCGTAGACAACACCCCCGCCACGAGAAGGCAGTGAGTAGGACTTCCCTGGCAGAGGCTATATACGCGTGGCCATGTGAGAGCGTTTCGAGGAGAGCGAACTCTCCCTACTCTCGGCCGTACCAAGGCATTTGGGGGCACATACATACTGGTGCAAGGAGGCACCAAATATATATGCGTCGCACAAATCAAATGAGATTTATGTGAGGACTGTGATACTACCTGGGTGCCCGAAATGAAGCAGGTTTGGCTCTTAATAAATCTATAACAGACAAACATAAAATTATCAGTTTCGATAAAGTTACATTTTCGAGTTAGATGGTTTAACTGTAGGGGTTTCGGTTTCTTTTTCGACAGATTTTAGATAAAATTGAGTTATTCAGTTTTCTTTATATATGACTCACATTTTGTTCTGTCTATTTCAAATATGATTGATTGTCTTCTATAAGTTATTTTTTCTCTTATTAGGTAACCGGTGGTGCCGGTTTTGTTGGCTCTCATTTAGTTGATAAATTAATGCAAGATGGTCATGAGGTTATAGCTTTAGACAATTTTTTCACAGGAAAACGACATAATATCGAACATTGGATTGGGCATAGTAATTTTGAACTTCTACATCATGATGTTACCAATCCTATACATGTGGAAGGTGATTATATTATCTATGCTTATGTTTGCAATTGTTGCCTATTAATTTAAAACAATGTTCTAATGGTGTTTGTACCAGTTTAAAAGAATTATGTAATTACTATCCAGAAAGACATCCAATTTGAAGAGATAATGGGATTCTGTTGAAATCATATTAATTATTGTGCAGAAAGTATTGTATTTTTCTTTCCGAAAGTGATAGTTTACGAGAGTGTATGTTCCTTTAAGCAATGTTGAGAAAGGTCGGCTTGAATAAAAGACAAGTAAAAGGCTTTAAGACCATCGAACCAACATAATTCAACACAAATTCACACTTATAAATGTAGTTTTAACTATAAATATATTAGCCGAATGATCAGTGGTAATTTGTAAGGCGGTCTGGCCAAACGTCTAGAGCACCTATTTACTTATGGAATAAATATTACAATGAACATTCCTAGTTTACATTTGTTTAAATTGGATGATTGTGAACACTAACTGTGTCTACTTATAAGCTATTATAGAAGACTTAAAAATTATTACAATCATAAATATTAACGAACTTAAACCAAAAAACTTTATTTATTGACTTGAATATCTACATTATCTGTCATTCTAGAAAAATAATTGGCAAATACATTTGAATTCATGCATTTCAAATAGGATAGATTAAAGAACTAGCTGTACCATATAAACTAGCAGAAAGCCTTCGCAATTGAAAATGAGTGATAGATGCTGGTTGTGGACAGACTTTATAAGATGTATTTTTGAATAATTACAATTCGGACGTATGTTAAGTAAATATTTGTTGCGACATTACATATATGGTTCTAATAGTACGTTACTGCAACAAAATTCACTAAACTACTACGAAATCTAACATTATCTATAATTCTTATTACTAACATATACCATATTTTTACTACCGACTAAATTCTGTTGCGAAGTTATGATCAATGTAGTTCAACCGTGTTGGATATGAGACATATATTACCAGTGGAAATGGATGATGGACATAAAATTTCGCGAACCCATTGGAACTTGGAATGCGACCTATGATGTCCCAACCCTATGGTCTGAAGTTTAGGTTCTTCTCACGAACTTTAAAAGCTATGAGTTGTAGATATTCATCAATGAGATGTATCATACTAAGACGAAACATCTATCAGATGATTCACAATTATTTACGGTTCTTTAACTCAAGTCGGTTTGCGTTGTAAATTAGAAACTCAACTCATCTCTTCTATATTAACGTATTATTTATCAAAAGTTTTTTAATCTCAGGTGCAAATCCATTTATGGTGATTATTATGTATTACTAAAAAGTTCCCACAAACTACGATTAGACAGCTTTACGTTTACATACAATTATTTTTAACTAATCATTGAGTGAATAAACTAACTTTCATAAATAATTAAATAAAATTGTTAACAATGTCATATTCATAAAATTTATGTATCAATCCTTTTTAGTGGATGAAATTTACCACTTAGCTTCACCAGCATCACCTCAACATTATATGCATAATCCTATACGTACTATTAAGGCAAACACATTGGGTACTTTAAATATGTTAGGTAAGTTATGTAAAAAATTAGATGTTAAACAATTGATAATTAAATGTGTATTTCTTTTTATCATTTCTTATTAATTAATGTATTTTTATTTAATTTTTTGATTTTGATGGGGTTTTGTTCTCTGAGCTGGAGAATAAAACTTCATCAAAATCATCCATCTGAGCTACAAATCTTCCCCATCATCTCAAGTTTTTGGTTTACCAACAACAAGCAAGGTACATTGGCCGTAGCCAGCGCTTGCTTTCAACTAGGATACGGGAACATATCCCAGCTTGGTTCTATAAGGGTGGAAGGAAAGCAGTCAAGAGTTCTATACTTGAACACCTAATCGACTGTAACCATTCTACAGATCCACAAATTGATTTTAAGGTTGTTTATATGATTCGTCCAAATCTACCCAGATTTCTTCGTATACAACTCTTAAAAATAGCCGAAGCTCTTACCATTCAGGAGCTTTAACCAGAACTATGCGTACAAAAGAAGTACGTCTTATCGCTATCATTACCTTGGCCTTAATTATTTTGATTATCCAATTATTATTATTATCATTATTATTGCATTCCCTCTTTACTTATGTCCTATAGTCTCATTATTCTATTCGTAAACGCTCATCATATCACCTTATTTAAAAAAGATTATTTCTCTATCTTCCTATTTATTCAATCTTATAGATATTCATATGTTCATATTCTACATACAACTTACTATATCCATACGTAGAACTTTAAAATTAATTCTCATAATGGATTGACAGTTAGCTAAAGAATATATAATACGTTCAAATCTTAGAAAAAAAAACAGAATATTGTTTCAATGAATAAAGTCGAATTGACCGAAGTTTAAAAGTATATACCAATTAGATACAAACTCAGTGGTCTGAATGTTTAGCTCTCTTAACTTGATTTGAAGGTCCTGTGTTTCATTCCTAGTGGAGTCATATATGTACACTGTTGAGGAATACCACAGTAGGATAAAAGATTTATACAGTTCCATTTATTGTTCAATGATTATATGTAAAGATGTAGAATACTTAAACTATTTACATTTTATAACTCCATTTAATTCACTTGTGTAGAAGGACATTTATCTATGTTACTGGGATACGACCGCGTAATTCACAACTAGAAAAGTGTATTAGCATAACTTATAAGTTTCTAATAGAGTTTCAGAAAATTTATGCTAAAATTAGTTAAGTTAATCACCATTCGGTAAAATTGTTTGGAAGTATTTCAATTTGGAGCTTTGCTGTTTTTATTACAAACTGACAATCTAAAATATTATTCAAAGTAAGGCGGCACTGCATAACTGTTTGATACCCTCCAACATCAGTGCTCATGCACCACTTTCTATGGAATAATATTCAAAATAGGAGTTGAAGTTCATTAATTCTGACAATTAGTTATAGTCAACACATATAATGACGTAGAAATGCATTAGTTCAACTTGTCACATCACGTCACAACTAAATAAATCTAAATAATGTAGCAGCAGTGATGATAAGAAAGACTGAACTTTGAAAATATGCCTGATCGATAGAATTCGAGCTGCATTAAGAATGACCTGACAAGCATGAAATTGGTCGCTACCCAGTGATCAATCATTTGAGAATACGCTTTGCGTAAACAGAGTGAAAAGATACATGTGAGGGAACATTGAAACTTAAGATGTATGGTAAGATGAATCGTAAATGCATCTACTCCTTCATGATCAGTACTGAACCATGTCATACAAAATTTCTAACCAGAGTTCTGACAGTAGATTTAGTCGGGATTTTATCTGTATGTTTCCATGTGGGTGGATGGGGATGACCATCTGCACGTTAATAGGGAACTTAATCAAACTAATAAATCACTTCCTCGAGAAATATATTAAACCCCTCACGATTGTACTAAAAGCACCTAGGTTTTTTGATACAATGGTTTTTAAACACTCAACTGACTGATGTTTAAGCGAAACTACTACGTCTAGCTGTTAGTAATCTGACCTTAAAATCAGTAAATCCGTAAAAGATGCCCCTATATTTAATGGTGGTAACAATCAACAACAAGCAGCAATCCACAAATTTAAAAATGTTGGTTCACTAACTTGACAAATTTTACCCAGGACATGATACATTTCTTGGATTCAAATGTTAACAATTTCCAAAACTATAATCACTTTTTAAATGTGGGTAAAATCAATACTTACTTACGCCTGTTACTCCTCGTGCAGGGGTATAGGCCGCCCGCAAGCACTCTCCATCCAACCCTGTCCTGGACAATCCTTTCCAGCTCTTTCCAGTTGTTATTCGTCTTTTTCATATCTGCATCTATTTCCCGACATAATCTGTCCTTTGACTTTTCTGTTTTCCGCTTCACTTCAGGATTTCAAGTTAGGGCTTGATTAAGTGATGCGATTTGGTGATTTCCGTAATGTATGTCCTATCCATTTCCATAATCTTTTCCTCTTCAGATGGAAGCTGGTTTGTGGATTTTGAGCATCTTGAGTAGACAATGGTTTATAAATGCTTGTACTTTCTTGATGATGGTTGTTGTAGTTCTTCAAGTTTCAATGCTTATATACTCATATATTTTAGTAGAAAACACTCCTTAATATATCAAAAGCGGGAGAGCACAGCTTGAGTTTAGGTTTCAGTGTAAACATGCATACTATTATCTAGGTGAGTTTAGTGGATGAGACCCATGTTCGATGGAAACTCGCTCCTTGGATTTGTTTGCTAGCTAGCTATAATTTAAATTTCCTATTTAAAGAAATAATTTATGCATGAACTATGCATCAAATGAAATTATCAAGTCAAACCTTAGTAATACTACTTACATAATACATATATCACATGAAATTCATTTAACTATTTGTACTTTTGAGATGATAAAAAAGATTTGTAGCTTAGGTGGATGATTTTGATGGAGTTTTGTTCTCTGAGCTGCACGACCAAACCATCCAACTCAGAGAATAAAATTCCATCAATATTTTTACTGTTATGGCCTGAGTGCCGTGTTAATGGATAGGTAATGTTACCGCCAATTAGGGAGCAGTGAATTATCGATCGAATCAATGACGCGTAAAACCGTACGAGCAGCCTAGAGTCCCGATTGGTCCTGCTTTCCGCCTAGCCCAGCCAGTTAAGTCCACAACACCAATCCGAGCCTCTTCAATATGATACATGTATTTCAAACATACTGAGTTTATATACCAACCAAACAGACCACAACCCACCATAAGATAGAAAATAACATTTGTACAAAATTTGGCCAAATGTGGCTGTGAATGTGGGCGTCAGTGACTAATAGACAAGGTATAATTCAAGAATGATAAAACGTATAATAATGGTTCATAGGTTAAAATAAAGCTTATAATAAGAGGAATATGAATAGGAATAGTTTAGTTATTTAACAATTATAAGATAAAAATATACGTTTAGTATTGGTCCATAAATGGATCCCAAAAGTTACTATTCATTATGCTTATCGGGATATAACATGTACTTTTGTTGTAAACAATAAATTTTGTAAAACTTCAAAAAGAAACAAACAAAAACAACTCATTATCTCAAGACTAACAAAATGAAAACCATTATAACAATAAACCTATTTTATATTGTTAGGTTTTATAAATGCATGGTTTTATACTTTTCGTTTAACCTTAGTTCAATCTTTATCTATATTGTATTCTTGATAGTTTAGATATAATTCAACAAATTTCTTTTTCCATTGGTCAAATACACATAAATTAAAGGAGATATAATGTTAGGTCAAAAGTATAGATAGTAGGGTTTAATAAATAGTTTTTAAGTTTAAGTTCTGTTTCTATGTCAATGGTTCTGTTCAAGTTTATCTTTATTTTTACACAGGAAACTATATTTGTAAATTTCTGAGTTGTCCTTAACTATGGACAAAATACTTACTTCCTTACTTACGTTTGTTACTCTTAATGAAAAATAGGCCTCCAATCCACTCTGTTCTGGGTCTTCTTTTCTAGTTCTATCCAATTGTTGTTTATTCTTCTTATATCTGAACAAAATAGCTACCCAGTAGATTATGTTTCTTCAGATGATGTTATTTATTTGTGAGAATTGGATATTCAAATAATAGTCAACATTAGATACAGTTATATGTGGTCAATTTACAAAATCGAAGGTTATTAACAGTATTAGAAAGATAAGGTAACGGTATCTAATACTCAGTTAATTTACAGACGATCTGTTGTATGACATACCACTCATTGATGTTGACTATGTGACTGTGTTATACATATCAAAACCTCAGTGATAGAATACATCTCAAGGTCATGGAAACGTAAGCATTTCAACTTGAATAAATGTAAATAATTTGCTATGCAACTATAATAATAAATTGATTCTGTGGTTTATTATGTTCTGAAGACAGTGTAGATGACGAAATAGATATATTAAAGAATACATTACGAGATAATGGATATCCTGATAATTTCGTCAAAAAATACCTCGTACAAAGTAATAAGAAATGAAGACATTGTGAAACAGTCAGAAAAAAGACCTTGTATCTGAGACTTGACTTTAAAGGGGATATAGCGGGTGATATTTTAACACGCCGACCCAAAAGATCGGTCGAAAGGACGTTTCATGCCGCCAAGTTACACATAATCTTCTCGACTAAACCAGTACTCACACAACTAATCAAGGATAGGTTACCGAAGATGGGCTCCTCCATGCGTGTATACCAATTCAACTGCTCCTGTGGAGCTAGTTACATAGGCCGTACTCAGAGGGCTTTATCCTTGCGTGTTCGTGAACATGTGCCGGCATGGTTGGGAAAAGGAGTTACTAAATCTATTAACAGTGCTATTCTTTCACACTTGGTAGATAATGAACATCATATCAAAATAGAGGAAGCTTTCTCTGTTTTATATCAAGTTCCAAAATATCTACCTCAAGGAGCTAGATTACGTCTACTTTACATAGCCGAAGCCATCTGGATCAACTCTAGAAGACCTAATTTATGTATCCAGAAAAAATATATCCAGCCTCTATGTTTACCTTGGCCTACGACTGGATCACCGAATACGTAGTCTGAATATTTAAACCTCTTACCCCCTTCCTCTAATTTTATTTATTTTCCTTATTATCATTAATGTTGATTATCCCTATCTTAATCTTCACATCTATCATTCCCAATTCGTTGATCGTAGTTACCTTGATAATACCCCCTACCCCCTTCTTACATATTATATTCACACCACAATCTTATTATTATTATTATTATCTCAATTGACAAGATGAAATTCTCTTACTATGCATTCTATTCACACAATTTTGTTTTTCGATTTTGCTATAATACTATTCTACTTATTTCGATCGAACACTTTACTCCAAATCAGCTTGACCTTTATTGAATGACCTTTCTCATTTGTAAATAATACCATTTTGAAGTATATATATATATATCGTAACAGATGCAAAAGTGCACCAATTTTTTTAACACATAACATTGTCAAATTTCATTAATACATGCCTTATTTTTGGCCTTTGTAAAATATCACAATAATTATGGACTTATAACTGTAGAGCCTGATGATAAAGTTATTGAAAACAATTGTTCGCTCAAATATTCTTTATTTTTGAATATTCTATGGGGATTTTTAAACTGTTGAAATCTCTTTACTTTGTCTATTCTAAGCTCTCGAAAAAATCTTTTTATTGATATTGACTGAATAATAGGTGAAGTAGCGAACTATGAGTACTAAAATAGTTGACGATTTCTATGCATCACTTCATTTCACTGTCTTGATTGTATTCCCAATCAAATAAATGACATTATACTGTCATACTTTTGCAGTATTATGATCGAAAACAAAATAAGCCTTTAAAAACTAATAAACTCTCTAAAATTGGTAAACTCTGAAATGTTTCATCACTGTATTTAAATCATAGTTACACCGATTTTAGAATTATCCTGTAAGTATTTTGTATCAATCTATTCTAATAACCCTATTATTGATTGGTTGTCCTTATCAATCACTAACATGCTTATGAGGACAAATTGATATAGCATCTTTTGTGTAATTCTCTAGTGATCATTTCTATTTGAAATAGGCATTGATTGTCTTGGTCTAGAAATTCATTGAAAGCTTCATTATTAAGCTGCCTAGTTTGAAGAATGTAACTTTATCATAGATCTTACTTACTTACGCCTGTTACTCCCAATGGAGCATAGGCCGCTGACCAGCATTCTCCAACCCACTCTGTCCCACTCTGCTTTCTTTTCTAGTTCCATCCAATTCTTGTTCATTTTTCTCATATCTATCTCCATTTCCCGGCGTAATGTATTCTTTGGTCTTCCTCTCCTCCTTCGACCTTGACGATTCCATATGAGGGCTTGTCTTGTGACGCAGTTGGGTGTTTTCCTCAATGTGTGTCCTATCCACTTCCAGCGCTTCTTCCTGATTTCTTCCTCCACTGGGATCTGATTTGTTCTCTCCCACAGTAGGTTGTTGCTTATAGTGTCTGGCCAGCGGATCTGAAGTATTTTGCGTAGACATAGATCTTACCATTTAAATATTGTATCACTGATTTCCTGTAACGTTGTTTCGATTAATTGTTTACTCGTTTTGCAAAAACATTTGATTATATATATATATATATATATATATATATATATATATATATATATATATATATACTATTTTAGCAGGAAGTGCTTTCGGACATAAACTCATTCGAGATCCCCTACTACAAACCTTTCATACTAATATAAACTACGTACTTACAACCAGTGCAGTTTTTCTGTGTTTCGCATGAGACAAGCACAGTCGATAGACCTGAATGATAGTTGCGAAATATTGCAAATTGACTGAAGTTGAACATGTAGACCATTGGGTGGACACTCATTTATCTGAAGGATAGGCGATCTTCATGAGACTTGCGGGTCCTAGGTCCCACCTATTGTGTGGTTCGGGTGCCCACTACTGAAGAGTCCCGAATTGGGCAAAACAACCATAGAGTAATCCTTCTTGATCTTAATTGTGTTTCCAACTTTAGTCAATCCTTGATGTGAAACTACAAATCCATTAACACCATTTGATAAATTTTGTGTATTCCAAAGTACAGAAAGCAAATAGAATAGAATTCTTGTTCTTATTTTTATATAGATCTCAAAGAACCTAAGACTAATGGACTCATATACAGTCAACGCTATAATCGTTCATCACTTACTTCCTATATCATATGATTTCGATATTTCTAATTTTATTATGTATAATAAAATCAAGCAAGAAATCTTAAAATTATTGCTTTTTGCCTTTCACAGTACGTTTATACTCACTTTATGCATTGAAAATAGAGTATTATTCATCCATTTCTTTATTAGACTGATGACCACAGCTTCCATAATTTTTACTGGATAGCTTTTAAAACTTATTTTTTCTTGTTTAAATCTTACTTATTTCTCCCAGATAAACTATCATTGGTTTTTAACAAGTCATTTATGTTTAGATAATAGTAGGTATTCGACAGAAAATCGGTAATACCAAGGTTTCATGCTATTTGGTACTCGTCAGTAATCTTGAAGGAACTGGTGTCCCCTGATGGACTTGATTCAACTTCACGTAAAATTCATTGTTTGTAACCAGAAGACTGAGTTATTCAGGCTTCAATTGACCTTCTGTATGACTGAGCTGCTATTGTTTATCTAGTCTTTTAGTGCTGATTGAATCTTGTCGATTAGCCACATGATAATTTAATGAATAGATTTCTACCAACAGTAAATGACTAAACAAATGTGATATTAGTCACTAATAACTAACTAATCAATTGTAAATCTCTTTATTCAATAAAATATGTAGTACAATTGGACCAACCAAATCAGATTAAATGCATTTTTACTCAAACCTATAACTCAACGATCGAAAAGTCAAATTGTTGGATACCACTATTAACTCCACTATTCTACGTTCATATTAAATTTGAAATAGTTAAGGTTTCAATTTAAATACTAATCTAGTTATATACAATGTCTATGTTTCATATTTCTTTTATTATTCATCTATTAAAATATAATGTAAAATAATTTACATTGTATTGTACTCCTTGAATATCATCTCCGAACCCTACTTATACTTTTAGTACCTCTACCATTATGGGACTTGAATAGACAATTGCATCTCTATGCTAATGTGGTATGGCAACTTGAACTAATGTATGTACGTACGAAATTCTACGTTGTTGCGGACTAACTGACTGACTGACATTGGATTATTGCCTTATTTATAATAATACCATCATATTTGTATTCAAAATGATTTTGTTTTTTTTTTTTTTTCCTTTTTTAAAATGATAGGATTAGCTCGTCGTACAAATGCCAAATTTTTATTCGCTTCTACTTCAGAAATTTATGGCGGTTAGTTTGAAGTAATTTTTATGAAATTGTAAAATAAAATAATTAAAAAATCTTAATTCACTGAGAATTGTCAAAGTATTTTTTACAATTTTTATTGATCTGATCTAAGTTGTTTACATTGTGGAATATGGGATCTTTCATTCAGAAGACCCTTAAAGAAAATTTTTTTCCCAGTAGGTATCTCATTTAGGGAAGTGTACATTTATCGATTTATTTATTTTTATGATTCAGGTTATATTTATTGTACAAAGCATTCATTTGCTAAATGCATATGTATCACGACACTACCCTAAATGAATATTTAGAAGAAAATATAAGTCAGTCAACAGCCCAATCTTTGATCACATGATCAACTCTGATCAAGTGTTTCCATGAGGATCATTGTTCAGGACTATCTCTATTCACTGCCTTCTCGCGGTAGGGGTGTTGTTTACGAAATTGAGAGGACGCAAAGCCAATGTCTGGCGCTTTAACCGGGTTGGTGGATATGGAGGATCCAACTAGAGGATTTGGAAAACCCCGATTTTAAACCGATCGTGCACATGGGTTCCAGTATCCTGAGGGGACAAATGGCGTATGGACCAATTGTTAGTCACCGGCTACCATGGAACTGCATCTTCTAACGTTGCTTCACTGCCTTGTGGACCATACCTTTTGGTTGAAGGCTTCGGATGTGGCTCCCTAAGAAAAGCGCCTACTTCGGTTTACGTACCCGCGCAGTATTCCAGCCTTCACACAAAGCAAATGGTTTTTGTGGTGCATAACTATTTGGTACCTCCTTGTACCAATGTTTATGTGTTTAAGCAAATAATAATAAATAAAATCAGGACTATCTATAAAACCAAAAGAAGTGGGTCAAAGAATGTTTGGGTCAGAAGTTCCCACATGGTTGACTCCGTACCAATCCATCAGTTTAAACCCGATCTTTATGTGTAAGAAGGACATTTTCAACCGTTTATTCTACTATGGTTTCAGTACTTCCTTATGATTGCGCAAATAATTAATACTAATTATTATCTTATTCTTCGCTTTTATATTTATGAGGTAAAGAGTTATCTGCATTTTTCTATAAATTATTACTTCTTATTCCTCCGAAGACTATTACCTAATTTCTGTTCAATACTTGAAAGCCTTAGATTACTTTATTAAATAAAGCAACACCCTTCTATTTCGTTATAGACTATCACATGTAAATGTCGATCCGATTGTACAGCTTAAGTAAAGGATATCACTGAAAAACAAACTCTGAAATATCTTCATTTTGTTGAATCGTTATTGCTTTCAAGCTTATTATGCTGATCGGTTATTTTACTGAATCGAACGTTGAACCCATCACTTACTCCCTTTTGTTGTTTAAATCAAAATACCTTAATACTTATCTAAGAAGTAAACATGATGGTATCTGAATCACACAGATTATTACCCATTATTTAATATAATCAATGTTGTTTCAAAGTGTAATGTCTAAAGATTTCATTAAAAAAAAACCGTATGTCAATAGAATATGATCAATTAAAGCTAGATCACCATGGAAAAACTGGGAGCACTATACGGCCGTTTCGTCTTATTGTGGGACTCTTTAGAAGTGCGCATTCACGATCCCGCCTCGCGGGCGAGCGCTCAACCACTGCTCCGGCCAGTATCCAATCGTGTTAATATCTAACTTTCACTAATCCACGAAACTGAGTGACACATCCACGATTGTCATCAATGAGTTACTATCTCCACTGGTTACTGTTTCTCACTAGAACTCGAAGAAATATCTCTTGGATCCAGTCACTAGTGAGCATATGTTGATTAGTATCAGAAAACTTTTCATTATATAATACCTTAGTACAACATGAATGCGTAAAACTTCGACTTTGTATGATCGATTTACATAAAGTAATTGATTGTTTATTTAACTTGTCAATGGTTGTTTTATTTTATTTTTTTTAACGAGATAGTCTACACATACGAATAGTTGTTATGTAACGTTAAACAATTAACAGACTATCATTTAGTTTTATAATGAACCAAAAACAATATTCTAATTAACAGATTAACAATTCATTCAAATAAATCACCATAGTGTTATTGAATAAGAAAAAGAGAATTCAGCAATCAAAACTTTCTTTTCAATGAAATCATTTCCTTAAACTGTACATTCGTATATAAATAGTTATATAGAAAATACATAAGTCTATAGAAGGATAGAAAAGATTACATCATTAATTGATTCGAAACTATTATTATCAACTGAGGTTACGCAATAATCAAGGGGTAAGGATGAAAAGAATCTACGGGTCAGATAATTGTCCAATGGACAAATATGATGAAAAAACGACATAATGATAACTGATTACAGTTCACAATTAAGAAACACTAATTTAAGAAATCAATAATAATGATAAAATAAAAAAGGGAGAAAAAACCGAAACATACTACTAAAGGGAATTAGGGCTAAAGAAGAATAAGAGGTTGGACGAATCGTTTTTTCACGTCAAGTTCAAGCTTGAGTTCGTGGATTGCCAATGCCTTCAGCAACGCATAAAAGATTGATTCGACACCCCTTTGATCCTTTGACTCTGCAGATTATTTTAAAAGAGGAATCTTTTGGAGCGATTTATCCACAGTTGATTAATTGCTCCTTTATAGAATTAGTAATTGTTTTACATTCATCTTTTAAGAGCCAAACTGAATAGTGTTCTGAGATGTGTTTGGAAAGTGATCACTTTGTGCGGTCTATGTAACAATTACTCCTTATTTATGGAAAATGACTTTAAAATCACTAATGAAAGACATCTTTTCAGCGAAGAAAAGTTTCTTTTCAACGATACCATCATATGATGTACAATCGCGTTTATAGGTAATATTTTTACATCTAGTAGTCTATGATAAAATAGAGGAGTGTTATACAATTTTAATAGTTGAGATAATGAGTCAATTGAATCTCGCGAGGCAGGATCGTGTATGCGCACTCCTGAGGAGTCCCACAATAGGACGAAACGGCCGTCCAATGCTTCCAGGTTTTTCATGGTGATCTAGCTTCAATTGACTCATTATCTCAACTATTAAAATTACCATGATATCCACAAAACTCATTCTGATACTAATTTTGTTATATAATTATCAATGATGATCAGACTTACTTAAGTTTCAAATGTAAAAGTCTATGAAGATGAAGTGGTTTTGCATAATTTAACTAAGTAATCAAAGACTATCGAAAGATTTCAAGTATTAAGTATGATGGTCTGTAAATAGAAAGATAGTATTTCAATGTAATTAAAGTTCTCGGAAGTTTCCAAGTGTTGAATAGAATAGGTGTTTAATCATTTAGCAAAGCAATCAAAAATTATCAAGAAATATGGTCATAGAGTAATAACGAAAGAAGCCTATTTTATCGTTGAAGAAGATTGATAGGAATTCAGTGAAGAAAATTTTTTCTTCAGTCTACGTGCTCATTTGGGGCAGATTATATTTGTCCTTCATAGCAAGCTTTTCGAAATACTTCTCCGAATGTTACCTTACCTGACTCTCTAAAGGAATACAAATCTCAGTCAAAAGCTCAATCTTGGAACATCTAGTTAATTCTGGCCATTCCTCTTCACCAAAATTTCCTTTCAAAATTATACATACAGTCAGAAGAGTCGGCTCAAAAAGAATGCAAATAAAAAACTTATGTATAACAGAGGCTATTGTTAACCACTAGTTCAAGACTAACGTTTGCTCACAAAAAAGTGTATGTCCAATCCCTCATTGTTCCATGGTCTTAACCCTCCTTTGTATCTTCCATGATCTATGGTTTTTTTTCAAAAAAAGACTTTCTACTCCTTTTCAATTTGAATGATGCTCCATAAAGGGGACCGATTACATGAAATTTCTAAAGAGTCGCCTCCTTTCCAATTATTTTCACACCTATTAATTAGCCATTATTATAATCTTTAATTATTCTGTTCTTAATATCTATCAAGTGAAGAATTATCTTCACTTTAGCACTTTTCAATAGCCAATTTTTACATAACATCCTATCTGATTTTCGTAGAAGTTTGTTCTGATAATATCGTTCAGAAGAACGATGAAAGCTCCACGACCAAATCATCCAATTCAGAGAACAAAACTCCATCAAAATCATCCACCTGAGTTGCAAATCTTCTCCACTACCACATCAAGTTTTCTTTTTATTAATTATCGAACACTATTCTATTTTACTATAGACTACTATTTGAATAAAGAAAGAATAGAACAGAATAGCATGAACTCATTTATTTCATGAATTCTCGCCAGCTGCTTACAACTGAAAACCATGGAATTAATAATTAAAACGAAACAAGTGTAAATGCTTTACATCGGAAAAGTCTTAAATTAATTGAGTTAACATGTAAAGATAGAATGTAGTATGGGAATTTTCTTCGAAATCGAATCCAGATTACTTAACACTAGTTGAGCCAAGCTCAGAAGTACGAATTAAGATATTAACAGTTACAATCATAGTTATGAATATATAGCTTCAACTGTGAATTTATTCCCCATCCAAACGTTCTTCGATCCAGTCCTTTTAACTCTATAGACGACCTTGAATGACGATTCTTATGGTGATGTGCAAACAGAGTTGGTCATATGTTAAGGGATTGAGCTGTTAGTTGATTTGTACCCGAGCACTATCCTGTATAGCTATTTAAAGGAAAAGGAATCCCAGAATATCAAAGTTGCTTTTCTGTACTGATTAGATAATTTCGTATGGAGCTCCTTAAAAGATCTTACAGACACCCTTGACTGTGGCCTGAACCTTATAAATTACTCTCGATATTTCAGATAAAGTTTACATCAAGATATTTTCTTGTAATTAAGCTTTCATACCATGTCATATTCACTACATAGTTGTAAAAGAGATATGATTATCCATTTTAAATTTTTAATACAAACTGGTGCAAGTTATGTAATACTGGATTTTGGTTTTCTCACCAAGTAGTATTATCCTTCATATTATAAATTACACACTCAGTATACTCGCTCATGTAAGCGTATTAGTATTCCACTTTCATTGTGTTTTTTTTCTTTTCCACAATTAAAGATCCTGAAGTTCATCCTCAACCTGAATCTTATTGGGGTAATGTAAATCCAGTTGGACCAAGAGCTTGTTATGATGAAAGTAAACGACTTGGTGAAACAATGACTTATGCTTATTTTAGACATGTAAGTTTAATTTTTATATGTAATTCTGTACAGACCAATTTGATGAATATCAGTAATTCATCATTATATAGAGGGAGCAGTTGTAAGGAGTTAGGCGGTAGAGTATGTATTATTTGTAAAGTCTAGTCGCTGAAACTTTTTTTACTGAGATATAATTTCATTTTTAAATTTCGATCAGATTCAAACCATCTCCTTTCTGGCTACCGATTTGATTCATTGTGTACTTAGTTATTTGGAAATATGTTATGTAAGTTCAACTACATCTGGCTGGTGTAGAAGCAGGTTGAAAAAAAAATATTGGAGACTGACAAATTAAGTTGTAGCTTGAATCCACGAGACCATCAACCTATTGGTTTGACCCATATTGGTAGATGTATACTGTCTGATTGAAATCAGTGCAGTATAAATGATCAATGATTGGAGACGTTGGGTGACCTAGCTCAAAATAAGTCGCAGTGGCACTGATAAATTTATTCTCTATCTTCACTTAAATATTGCGCTTCAATATAATTTCATTTTTTTTATTCCCTTCTATGTCTTTCACTCTTTTGAAATCCGATTTGTCTGTGTTTAGACTTTGTCACGTGTATGTTAGTCACATCCGAGTTATGCTTCAATCATCATGTAATGCGTACTTTGCTGTTGTGAGAAATAGATCAAACACTATTGTTCTTGGGTCATGATACATCACATAATGACTGAAGTATTTGAAATATCTATTCACTGCTTGAGTTTCATAATTGATTTTACAGAGTAAAGAGATGGTGAATAGATATTTGTTGGTTTGAATGTTGTCTTTATCTTAGCTTTTCTTTAGGCTACAAAATAATTTTCATATAGGTAGTAGGAACTTTCAACTGAGTAACTTATCACGGAGTAGGATTTAATAAAGGAATTTTTAGATTGTTTAGTTGGGTGAATCGAATACTGATCAGTAAATTAATGCAACAATGTTATGACGCGGTCGGGCGATAGCTGCTCACCAGAACAAATTATTTACGTAATCTTCTAACTTTACAGATATCAGGAGATGAGGCAGCTGCTCAGCAGAAAAGGATTTTTGTGTTATAAGACAACAAGCTTATATACAAAATAATAACAGGGAACTAAACATGATTTATTGTTGTAGACGATCGGAGGAATTCAATTTTATAGGTTATGCACTCTTCAATCAATTTATATATATCTGTTTGTGGACGTGGCTGCAAGTTACACCCGTTGTTATTCGAATAAATGTACTGCATAAATTTTTAAAATCGTCAAAGGTAGAGAGGTTTGTTTACTCTTATTGTGGTGTACGCTGTTTATACGGACAGACATAAATAGTATTTAGCAGCCAGTGGAAGTGGAATACTTACTAGCAGAAGATTCAAATGAAGAGAACAGGAAGGCAAACAAAGAATAATCGAAATAACAACGGGATTGGAAGAATGATGGAGTATGTAAAGGAAAAATCCGGAAAGATAGACAAATGATGTAATTAATATATGATTTTCATGTTTTACAAAGTCACTGTATGATTTTACAGAAAATAATGAATTGGTTTATCATACCTAAGTCTTCGTTCACTAAACTATCACACATTGAAACAACTCATTTAATCATAAATTTCAGCAACAGTAAATTAACTAAGATTGATTGTAATTTAATAGTTGAGATCGTGGGTCAATTGAAGCTAGACCATCATGGAAAACCTGGAAGCACTGGACGGTCGTTTCCTCGGATTGTGGGACTCAGCAGTGCTCGTCCACGATCCACGAGGTTAAGCGTTCGCTCGCGAGACTGATAGGTCCTGGGTTCAAGTCTCGCGAGGCGGGATCGTGGATTTGCACTGCTGAGGAGTCCCACAATGGGACGAGACGGCCATCCAGTGCTTCCAAATTTTCCATGGTGGTCTCTCTTCAATGGACTCATGATCTAAACTATTAAATTAATATTGGTAATATTTTGCTAATCTAATCGTTAAACTTACAGACAGTTTATTTGTTTTTGATTGAAATCATGAACCGATTGATGTTAGATCACCATTGAAAACCTGGAAGCACTGGACGACCGTTTCGTCTTATTGTGGGACTCCTTAGCAGTGCGCATCCACGATCCCGCTCGCGGGATTCGAACCCAGAGCCTTCAGTCTTGCGCGTGAACGCTTAACATACTGGACCACTGAGCCGGCATCCAATGATGTTAATGCCTAACCTCAACCAATCCATGAGATTGTGCGACCATCTTCCATCCTGCGAGCGGGATCGTGGATGCGTACTACTGAGAAGTCCCACGATAGGACGAGACGGCCATCCAATGCTTCCAGGTTTTCACTGGCGGCCTAACATCAATCGGTTCATGATCTCAATGAAAAACTTAACCATCTTCGCAACCCTTAAACTAATAGTTTATTTATACGAATATTCGTCATGATTAGAACGAATAGTTTGACAGATATTGGGCGCCGAGTATAAAGAAGTCATTATAAATTATATTTGAAATAATCTCAGCGATTGAAATTCGAAATAATTCCAACGTTTCGTCCAGCTAACTTGTCTGGACTTCTTCAGGGTAATAATCAAAATCAAAATCATCAAAGAATTATATAGCTTTTTAACAATCATAACTGTACTTTGTTAAACCAATCAAATTTGGAAGTTGATTTTTGTAACATGGGATATAATGAGTCAGTTAACTCCAATTCCATTTGAAAAAGATTCAACTACATGGAAATAATTATCTGTAACAACATCTAGTGTATGTGTGTGTGTGAGTGTGTAAGTATGTATGTATGTGTTAGATTAATTATTGATATTCTGTGTTATTATGTTATGTATGGAAAGTTAAGAAAATAACTAAAAGTTCAAGTTCAAGGTTGAATACTTGTTAATGAATCATCGATGTACATGTCAATATTTAAGAGTACAAATGATACATAATTGTATTGCTAAAGCCTTATTGAACGATGCATTTGACATAAACAGGTTGAAAATAAAATAAAAGATAGGGTTCAAATTACTTGTCCAACGATATTTGCCAGGTATTCGCCAGTTGAATACCATCTTTTCGGTTCAGATTGTTCTTGTTCGCCCATATATACAGCGCTTCTGCTGTCAATCTTTCCCTATGGGTGTTAAAACTTTCTGAAGTATTTTGGCCCCTTCAAAATTAATCTTGTGTCCTGTTTCTAACGCATGTAACGCTATCGCCGATTTATTCTCTAGCTTCTTCAAATCAACCGAGGATTTGGGAACATTTTTCAAACATTGTTTGTGTTCCTTCAACCTTACATTCAATTGTCTAGATGTTTCTCCAACATAGGCAGCGTTACAATTATGACAGTTGATCTCATACACTACATTCTGTTGTTCTTCCTTTGGTAATATGTCTTTGACTTTTACTAATGTCGATCTTAAGGTGTTTGTCGCCCTAAAATACACTCTTATATCATGTTTGTTCAGGATCCTTTTTATTTCTTCTGATGTTTCACTACGGTATGGTATGACTACGGTGTACTTCCACTCTTTTCGTATACCTTCTAGTTTAGTTTTTCTCCCATTTTTAATAATCTTCTTTAAAAACTCTTTTGGGTAGTTGTTATCCCTAAGAGTAGATAATACTTTATTTAATTCAGTTCGTTGATCTTCCTTATCTGTAACAAGCTTTGTGCTTCTGTTCATTAAATTTTTTACTACGTTAATTTTCGTGCATTGTGCATGCGCTGAATCAAAATCTAAGTATCTCTCCGAGTGTGTCGGTTTCCTGTAAACATTTATTTTCAACTTTTTATTATTGTGTCGGCGTTCGATTAAACAATCTAGAAATGCTAGTTTGCGGTCCTCTGATTCCAGTTCCTTCGTCAACTTGATGTTTTTTGACATACTGTTTATATTGTTAAATAATTCTTCTAAACTATCCCGTTTATTGATGATAAAAATATCGTCTACATATCGTAGCCATAATTTTGGTTGATATATATTTCTTGTGATTGCACTAGTTTCTAGGGAATGCATGAATAAATTCGCTACAATCGGAGAAACTGGTGAGCCCATTGCTATCCCCACTCTCTGCCTGTAAAGGTGACCTTGAAAAATGAATAAGGTAGATCTTAAACATAATTCTAAACATTTGATAACTTCCGATGGATCTAATGGGCATCTTAAATTCAAATCTAAATCAGATTCTAAACAATCATTGATAAAATCCAAGGCTTTATTAACCGGTACATTAGTGAATAAAGAGGACACATCAAAACTTGCCATTATTTCATCATCTTCTATATCGATGGTATCAATCAAGTTCCTGAATTCCATAGAGTTTTTAATTCCATGTTTAATCAGTTTTTCATACGGTTTGAGAATTTTAGCTAAATATTTGGCTAGATTGTAAGTCGGTGTATTTGTAAAATCTACTACTGGTCTTATTGGAGTATTCTTCTTATGAATCTTTGGTAGTCCATAAAATCTGCATGGGTTACCACTCTTCGGATATAATTTAAACCATAAGGACGATCCAAGCTTCGTCTTTAATGACTGTAAGAGCTTACTGGTTTCCGCCTTGAGTTTATTAAGTGTTGTTCTACTTTGGGTATCATTAATTTCTTCATATGGACCTTCTTTTAGATGTTCCTTGACTTTTTTCTCATACTCTGTTTTATTCATAATTACTGTAGTGTTGCCTTTGTCCGCTCTCGTAATTATGATTGCTTTGTCCTCTCTCAATTGTTTTAAAGCATAAAATTCATTTTTGTTTATGTTAGGATTCTGGTGTTTCTGACGTATTAATGTACTCATAATTTTATTCCTCAATTCATTCGCCGTTTCATTCGGTAGTACATTAAGGGCTGGCTCGATTGTTGGAATAATGTTGAAGGGCGTTAATTTAGGTCTATTTATATTGAAGTTTAGCCCATTTTTAAGTAATGAAATTTCGTGTGGATTGAGCATTCTATCCGATAAATTGACAATCAGTTTATTCAAATTTTGTGTGTTTGATATATTTTTGGTCTGTTTAGTTTTGTTGTATAAAGTAAGTTTCGACATTTTTTCAAACTTCCTCATCTGTCGTTGTTTTGATGATTGATAATAAAATTGTTCTCTGTGTTTAAAAAATTCATTTATATCTGATATTACTTCTGTCGGTGCAATAACTGACAATATATCATCGATATTACAAACTCTTGAACGTAGTGACTCCAAATTCATAGTGGCTTTGTGTATACGTTCTCTGATAAATGTTCTAGTGGCTGTAATCGCCGCTTTTTGTGATCGAATAGAATTGTCTGGAGATTTGACCAACAAAGATTTTGGAAAAACATTCTCTTTTAAACATCGTAAATTAAAGATTCTGTGATTGTACCAGTTATGTATTTTCTTTGATAATTTAATTCGATTGGAAAATAATTTATACGAATATTCGTCAAGATTAGAACGAATAGTTTGACAGATATTGGGCGCCGAGTATAAAGAAGTCATTATAAATTATATTTGAAATAATCTCAGCGATTGAAATTTGAAATAATTCCAACGTTTCGTCCAGCTAACTTGTCTGGACTTCTTCAGGGTAATAATCAAAGTCAAAATCATCAAAGAATTATATAGCTTTTTAACAATTATAACTGTAACTTTCCATACATAACTTAATAACACAGAATATAAATAATTAATCTAACACATACATACACACTCACACACACACATACACTAGATGTTGTTACAGATAATTATTTCCATGTAGTTGAATCTTTTTCAAATGGAATTGGAGTTAACTGACTCATTATATCCCATGTTACAAAAATCAACTTCCAAATTTGATTGGTTTAACAAAGTACAGTTATGATTGTTAAAAAGCTATATAATTCTTTGATGATTTTGATTTTGATTATTACCCTGAAGAAGTCCAGACAAGTTAGCTGGACGAAACGTTGGAATTATTTCAAATTTCAATCGCTGAGATTATTTCAAATATAATTTATAATAGTTTATTTCTTATTCAACTAAATTATGTTTGTAATTTTATAATTTTCTATTATCAATATAGCTTAATCTTCCTGTTAGAGTTGCCCGTATATTCAATACATATGGACCAAGAATGCAAGTTAATGATGGTCGAGTGGTAACTAATTTCATTGCACAAGCTTTAAACAATGAATCGATTACGGTAATTAATCTATGTATTTATTATCTCTTAAACTATATCATCTGTGAAAGGTCATTTAACTAAAATCTATATGGTATTTATTTGTTTTGTTTATTTTTGTATATGTGTTAGATAGACAATGATGACCACTACACCACGGAAACGACTAAATGTTTAGTTGGAACTTCATGATGACCTTAGAGTTTAAAAAAATATCTAGTATTCCTGTAAATAAACAATAAACAAAAAATAAGCCTAATGAGTGTGTGTGTGTGTGAGAGAGAGAGAGAGAGAGTGAGAAAGATAATGTACTGATAAAAAATCGATTAGATGACATGATAAACTAAGTAAAGAGTGAAAATGGTAAATGTTATATATAGAACTTATATTCTCTCTATACCGCATACAACTTTAGCTTGAACACTTAAACGCTTGAACTTTCCAAATCATAAGTTAGAAGACGGGAGACTAGTGAGAAGGAATCTTATTCCATGTAGTGGTACAGAACACTCAGGTATTTATAGTTTTTAGTAAAAACGAAATTGTCGTTACAGTCATCCTATTCGTATGTAGTGGTTTTTAGCATTTGTCCAAGTAGGAAGCTACACGTCGAGATTCTGGAATGTTCTTTCAAGCGACGACTGAATAGAATGTCTTCGGCGTTTTCAAAGCTCCTTTGAGTTCACCGGAAGCCGTCCCCCCTCACAGTAAACTATGTCATAAGTAACTTATATTGAAAAAGGTACGATAGGATATTCTTCCTAAAAGAACTAAATTTTTATTAAAATTATTTTTTTTTTTTGATCTGGTGATTTAATCGTGAAGCTTTAGTTATCCTTCTAAACAATTCTGCTATCACCACAAACTTCTGATGGAAGTGGGTTCTGGAAATATTTCTACAAAGGACTAACATCTTGTTCTGTTGACTTTGAACCAGATTGGTTGTTATTAATACTTGTCCTGTGATTGTCTGCATATTCATTTACATTACCATACCCTTTACCCTTTTAGCAGTGAAAATATACACAGAATGAATAAAATTGTGTTGAACTGTTGTACCCGATTCACTAAAAGTTTAGACAAATAAATTAAGTCACAAGTGGTGGTTGGAAGCTGTCGACAGGACACCCTGAACCTAAGTTTCGTGCTATATGGCACTTGCTAGCAAGGTTTACCTGTAATCACAATATACCCAGAATACTGAACTGCATCCAATAGTGTACATGTCTAACCATCAACCATTACCTAATGTAAGTAGCTGCCTCAGACCCAACATGGTCGAACCCAACTGCTCATGGCTCAGTGGTCTAACAGTTCAAAGCTCGCGCGCGAGATCTAATTTCTTGAATTCGATTCACGTATGCGAGATCGTCAATACATACTGCTGAGGAGTCCCACCCTAGAGCGAAGTGACTATCAAGTGCTTCCAGTTTTCTAGCGGTAATGTAGCTAATATTTATTCGTGATTCAAATGATAAAATTCTACCATCTTCACGAATCTCCCTATACTACTAATAATCACTAACTTTAAGGTGCAACTCCTGGGGTTCTAGTGGGATGCTGTTGCAGGCAGAGCTCAACTATGTTGAATGTGATAAACCTGTCCACCTCAGGCAATGGATGATGGTTGAGCTATATCGTGAGTTGATTTACGTTAGACATGTAAATTTTTGGATAGGATGGTGGTTGAAGGTAGTCAACAGGAAACCATGGACCAGTGTTTCGTGCTACTTGGCACTCGTCAGCAAGGTGTACCTGTAATATTGAGGGAACTGGTGCTCCCTGACGGATTCAATCCCGTGTCATCCAGCTTCACAGTCAGAGACGTTATCACTAACAGCACGAAAGCCGGGCCCAGGGTTTCCTGTTGACTACCTCCAACCACCATCTTATCTAAACATTGTGCATACAATGTCGAGTCACCTATACTAGTGGCCACATTGCAACTTGGTCCATAGCATTCGATCTGCACTACGAAGGACTTGACACACATGACATTGATCACCACCCAGTGATCAATCAATTGTGAACATTATTAGATCCGCTTTAATAAGAATATATTGTGATCTAACTAAGTTATTTAACACTTTCTAATGAATTAGGTACAACAATTCAATACAATCGTATTTTTTTCTGGCTGTTTTTACTGCTGGAAATTGAAATGGTTTTTTTTTAAGTAGCTTGTTGTATTCACTCTTAGTTTGCGAGGCTTAGAGCCATGGAGGAATAAATTTGGCCTACAATAATGGTATTCAGTACTGTTCTCTCTAGATCATTTATGGATAGACGCTCAAAAACGAGTTTTCACGTTTTTTCAGTGATTTAAAGGTACAATTAATCATGATATTCAAATGGAACTAATTATCTGATAACTGCATAACAATTTAAATGAATCTTTCAAGTATATAGTAGTGATTAAATGGGAAAACCTTTATTATCAAAATGTTTACTTTCAAAGTCAATTCAAGCTTATTTAGCCAGCTTTTTTATATGTAAAATTTAGTAAATCACAATTCAAATATCATCCATCCAAGATGAAAATGTCAAATCGATGCTTGACCTAGAAAATTTCCGAAACATAATTTCAACTACTTATTAACAGTAACTAGTAATACAAATAGCAAAGAGTAAGAAAACTGAGGTATGGAAAATATGAATGAAACATTCATTTCTTATCAATAATTTGATACTATCAATATTAACTACATCAAGTGTTCTTATTACCAATGAAATATGTGTATGCTATAAAAGTGCGTTTTATTGCTCTCCTCCTCCATTTAGGTATATGGATTAGGAGAACAAACTAGATCTTTTCAGTATATCAGCGATCTTGTAAATGGTCTTGTAGCTTTAATGGAATCCAATTATACAATGCCTGTTAATTTGGGAAATCCTGTCGAGTTTACAGTGAACGAATTAGCAATCATGGTCAAGAATTTTACAGGTAGGTCTCCTTAAACTAAATTTTTTTTTATTTAGTAACCAATCAGATTTTGGCGCGAACTTCACTCACCTATATGGTCAAATTATTTATTTTTATTTATTTGAACACATAAATATTGGTACAGGGGGGCACCAAATATATATGCGCCACACATATGGTCAAATACCATTTTGGTATCTAGCTGTTGCCAGTTCATGATGAAAATCCCAACTCTAATTCCTAACCCTAACTCAACTCTAAATTTTGATTCTGATTTCTCACACTAGTTTGTAACCTTCTTTAAACCATAGCTAGTCGGTGGGTTTGCTCAAGATCACTTTGTCGTCACTCAAAGGTCGTCCATAAATTATGGTTCCAACTTGTTACCTTGATTTTATAGCTCACCCTAATGGTTTTTCATTTGTCGAATGAAACCCCACATAATCACATCTTTCTACGGTAAGTGGAACAGTGCGTTTTCAACCTTGTACATATATCTTGAACACTCTGCAACTATACATCGAAATGGATAAAGCCATCGAAACTGATCTCCAATTTCCTTCCTAATTACCTCTGCTACTAAGATAACTAAGTGAAGTGTCAGGAAATTTCTCAATCATTATTACGTCATGGGAATTATTGAATCCGGTGATTTTACATCATGCTATGATTCCAGTTGGAGAATCGTTGAGAACTAGAAAGCATTTAACAGCTGTTTCGTCCTAGTATAGGACTCATCAGTAGTGCCTACCTACAACCTCACCACAAACTCAGAATTGACTCCTAGTAATGAAGAGATTAAAGGTTTCATTCACAGAGAATATATATGAGTTCAAGTTGTTACAATTCACATAATCACGACAAAATATCAGTTGGAGTAAACATCAAAAAGTTTTTAAATTTAGAAAGAAATCTAATAGCTTTATTCAATCAACTGGCTATGTTAATCAGTATCTTATGTCAGAATAAACGATAGCCGAGTATATGCTGATTGTATGGTTCGATTACCCTTATTCATGCATGTTATCTACTTCATCAATCAACTTATCATCTCTACTTAATACTCTAATGTGTGTATGGTGGATCTAACTTATTTTTTAAGGTAGAATTTGCATGTGTAATCGAATGAATAATACTCAATATGTTCAAGTTAGCAAGTGAATAGGTGCCTCTAGTTGCGATCACTCTTACGAGATTGCTACGAGACATTTAGTCAGTAAAGCTTACTTTTCACTCAAATAAATGGTTTGAGCACTCATATAGAAATCTTATATATCAGTCTCAGAATTGACCACCATACAAAATAACCATTTGTTTTCTTTTTTTTTTTTCTCTAACTAACAGACAGCAAAAGTGATATAATTTATCAACCATTACCAATTGATGATCCTCAACGAAGAAAACCTGATATTAGTACAGCTATACAACAATTGAATTGGAAACCAACCGTAACTTTACAAGAAGGATTAAGTAAAACTATAATTTATTTTAAAGATATTTTAAAACCATCAACTGAATGTGATATGCATTAGAAGGATAACTTCAAGGATCAAGATTTACATCATGTCATTATACTCTACACCATTATGAATGTTGATTTCTTTTCAAATTAAAATTTAGTTTATTATGTATCTTGATGTAAAGTGTCTCGTTTTTTTTTTTTTTCTTTTGTATATTAATTGATAAAAATATAAATATTCTGACTGGATGGTATTTGTTTTATGCGTACATGTTCTCGATCTACAGAATATGTGAAGCTTTAGTGAAGATGACTTAGTTATCAAGTATGAATAGAATTATTATAGCACATCTACTATAATTAAGTCTTTTTATCGGTAATTTTGTCAAACCCTTCAATTAAAAGACGGTGTTATTCGGACAGTAACAATTTGTCTGAATTTGTGTGATTATTATTATGTCTGTATAAACATGTATACTTGATCATATGTGACAGCTAACGCAGATATCCCTCTCTCTCTAGCTTAAATGTTAGTTGCTTAAACATCACTTGATGAATTATTCGCTTTCCAATGTATATATACTTGAATCCTATTAATTGATTCGACTCTGAATTCAGGTCTATGTTCGCTTGCTCGCGCGTATTGGTTTTTCTACTTAAATTCACTTAGTGTTTTTGTAGCTTTGTGATCTGCACTATCCAATAATAAACTGTAGTCTGCGCTTCATGTTGCCTTCTGAATCCATACACCGTTGGGATTTACTTGATAACAGTTATTAAGGTGATTAATATACGAAACCTAAGAAACTATCTTGAAGCCAAGTCATTACACTTTTAGTTTGAGCGTATCGAGTAATCTGTAAGTTTGATAAAACTTGAAAAAGCTATTGTTCAGTATTGATCCAAACACTCATGATTCATCTTTTATCAGGTGTAAATATGAAGAGTTGACTATGAATTTTGATGGAATAGCATTTTTCGCGCTAACTGGAAATAACAACCAGACTAATGGGTCAGCATACCATTCGAACCCGAAGATAAGTCTATAATAATACAAACTAAAGATAAACATACGAATAAGAATATGTTCTTTGACAGCTAAACTGCATATTCAAAGGTACAGAAAATTAAACTATTACATATGTTACTATCACCACTAAGCTGACTAGTGTGAATGGTTGGAAGAAAGTTAGGGGCAGCTAAACTAAAACGTGGCATAAGTGCTTGAAGACACTAACTTCTGGTCTAAGCCATGTTAGTAGATGCAGACTACCTGGTTGGGGTCCGTGTGACTATCGTAACCAATGGTTGGAGACCCTTGGTGACATGGCTGAAGATCGAACACAATGGCGTTGGTGTGTCTACTCTCTATCTTCCCTTGAACTGTGAGATTAAAATCGCTCAATATCTTTCTTTCTACCGACTGATTATTTCTTCCTGTACTTTGTCCTTATATGCAATCTTTCTTTTATATATTACCACTACTGAAGTAACTACTTCTATGAATTTTTTGTTCATCTTGTAGTGCTAATGAAGTGTGGCAACTTGAATCGATGCACATATGTGCCTGGTCCTACATTGTAGCTGACTACTAGGCTGTAGAAAACAAAATAAATGAAGATTTCGAACTTACGACCAAATGGTTGAAAGATAAAGTGTTAAAAGATTATGAGATCAGTTACTATTTATGAATATGTCAATATTTGAGATCTAATTTTTACTTATAATTGTTAATAAATATACTTTGGTTTAAAACAGTAGATCCGTTTTTTGGTTTAATAAAATTCGTTAAGTGGTTTAGTCACCTCTCCAATACTTATATGCCTTTAAATTACAACTGTTCTGTTTGTTTCGAATTGTAATTCCACCGATATAATTGAATTATTCTTGCTGCAGAGAAATTATATATGATTATCTAACTCAGTTGTCATCCACTGACAAGGAAGGGTGATTTGGATCATTTAGTTAATCGTAATGTCTAAGACGAAACCTTCATTAACATGATTGAAAGCTTTTTCTTTATTTTTCCATTAATCATAAATTTTAGTTATTACCAGTTCAAATTTGTGTTTCCAGTTTGAATCATTCCTTTTCCGAACTATATTATCTTTATCATTTTAAAGCTTTTGTTTCTTGTTCATTCTCTGTCAATGATATTGATATAAATGTAATAAGTTAGGAAAATACATACCGGTGCTAGTTAGTATTGTGCTTACAACTAACTGCTTACATGTAATCAACATCATAAGGTTCAGGGTATGTAATCTGGGTTACTGTTAGGTCCTGATAGGCATAAAGAATAGTAAATTTGAGATCCATTTATGGACAAATACTAAACGTATATTTTTATCTTATAATTGTTAAATGACTAAACTATTCCTATTCATATTAATATAAACTTTATCTTGATCTATGAACCATTATTATACGTTTTGTCATTCTTGAATTATGCCTTGTCTATTAGTCACTGACGCCCACATTCACAGCCACATTTGGCCAAATTTTGTACAAATGTTATTTTCTATCTTATGGTGGGTTGTGGTCTGTTTGGTTGGTATATAAACTCAGTATGTTTGAAATACATGTATCATATTGAAGAGGCTCGGATTGGTGTTGTGGACTTAACTGGCTGGGCTAGACGGAAGGCAGGACCAATCGGGACTCTAGGCTGCTCGTACGGTTTTACGCGTCATTGATTCGATCGATAATTCACTGCTCCCTAATTGGCGGTAACATTAACTATCCATTAACATGGCACTCAGGCCATAACAGTACAAATATTGATGGAATTTTATTCTCTGAGTTGGATGGTTTGGTCGTGCAGCTCAGAGAACGAAACTCCATCATTAATTTCATCGACAACTCCGCCTATAGCTCTCCTAGAGTTACTGCCGGTCCCAAGCCCGGGTAAAGGAGGAGGGTTGGGCATGGGATTAGCGACGACACCCCATAGACAACTAACTCTAACCAGAAAAATAACTCAAACCATTTAAACTCTGCCCTGGGAGTTAGAAGGTCTTCATTTAGAAGAAATATGACGCTTCATGGTGAAAGCCGAGTTCCTTCGGAAGCCACGAGGCCGATGCCCCTTCTAAAAACCAGAGCAACAATTTTTATAGGTACATAGAACGTCCGGACAATGTGGGAGACCGGGAAGACCAGTCAAATAGCAACGGAAATGAGGAGATACAACTTGGCAGTACTGGGAATCAGTGAAACCCATTGGACCCAAGCTGGACAACAAAGGCTAAATACGGGAGAGATGCTGCTATACTCCGGTCACGAAGAGGAAAATGCTCCATACACTCAGGGAGTTGCTCTAATGCTATCCAAAGTATCACGAAATGCACTGGTAGGATGGGAATCTCACGGATCCAGAATCATCAAAGCATCATTCAAAACAAAGAAGGAGGGTATCACAATGAACATTATTCAATGTTATGCACCCACCAATGATAGCAACGACGAAGTTAAAGATCAATTCTATGAGAGGCTGCAATCAATCATAGAGAAGTGCCCAAGAAAAGACCTCACCATGCTGATGGGAGATCTAGACGCCAAAGTCGGAATTGACAACACCGGATATAAAGATATCGTAGGACAACATGGACTGGAAGAGAGAAACAAAAATAGGGAATGATTTGCAAATCTATGCACATTCAATAAATTGGTCATAGGCGGTACAATATTTCCACACAAACGTACACACAAAGCTACATGGATCTCACCAGACCACACCACAGAGAACCAGATAGATCATATTTGCATCAATAAAAAGTTCCGAAGGACAATGGAAGATGTGAGAACCAGGAGAGGAGTGGAAATAGCTTCAGATCATCACCTGGTTGTGGCCAATTTAAAACTGAAACTAAAGAAGAACTGGACAACTGGACAAACAGCGCTGCAAAGGTTCAATACAGCCTTCCTTCGAGATACTGACAAACTCAACGAATTCAAGATAGCTCTCAACAACAGGTTCCGAGCCCTACAGGATCTACTCAAGGAAGAAAAAACCACTATGGATGATAACTGGATAGATATCAAAGAAGCATTAACTTCAACGTGTCAAGAGGTTCTGGGCCTCAAGAAGCATCATCACAAGGAATGAATCTCTATAGAAACACTGGACAGCATCAAAGAAAGGAAGAACAAGAAGACAGCAGTTAACAACAACTGAACACGTGCAGAGAAAGTACAAGTACAAGCTGAGTACACAGAAGCAAACAAGCTAGTGAAGAAGTGCATTAAAGCCGACAAGCAGAAATACGTGGAAGAACTAGCAACGACGGCGGAAAAAGCTGCAAGAGGAGGAAATATGAGACAGCTTTACGATACGACGAAGAAGCTAGCAGAGAAATACAGTAAACCAGAGAGACCAGTCAAAGACAAAGAAGGAAGACCAATCACTGAGATTCAACAACAGCGCAACAGATGGGCAGAGTACTTCGAGGAACTCCTGAACAGGCCGGCACCAAAGAATGCACCGGACATCGAGGCAACACACACAGATCATCCTATAGATGTCAATCCACTAACGACGGAAGGAACCAGAATGGTCATCATACAAATGAAGAGAGGGAAAGCATCAGGACCCGACAATATACCGGCTGAAGCACTGAAGTCGGACATCAAAGTAACTACTAACATGCTCTATCTCCTATTCAAGAAGATTTGGGAGGAGGAACAAGTGTCGATGAACTGGAAAGAAGGACACCTCATCAAGATTCCAAAGAAAGGAGATCTGAGCAAGTGTGAAAACTACAGAGGCATTACACTACTGTCAATACCGGGTAAAGTCTTCAACAGAGTGTTACTGAACAGGATGAAAGACGCAGTTGACGCTCAACTTCGAGATCAACAAGCTGGATTCCGTAAGGACCGGTCGTGCACAGACCAGATTGCGACACTACGGATCATCGTCGAACAATCAATTGAGTGGAACTCGTCACTCTACATCAACTTCATTGATTATGAAAAGGCATTTGACAGTGTAGATAGGAGGAGGTTATGGAAACTTCTTCGACACTACGGAGTTCCTGAGAAGATTGTCAACATTATCCGAAACTCATACGATGGACTATAGTGCAAAGTAGTGCATGGAGGACAGCTGACAGACGCATTCCAAGTAAGGACCGGAGTAAGACAAGGCTGTCTACTCTCTCCCTCCCTCTTTCTTCTGGTGGTCGACTGGATTATGAAGACCTCGACATCTGAGGGAAAACACGGCATACAATGAACAGCTCAGAACCAACTAGACGATTTAGACTTTGCAGATGACCTAGCCCTCCAATCGCATACACACGAACAAATGCAGATAAAGACAGCCAGCATAGCAGCAGTCTCTGCATCAGTAGGCCTCAACATACACAAAGGGAAAACCAGAGTCCTCAAACACAACACGGAGAACAGTAGTCCAATCACTCTTGATGGCGAAACTATGGAACATGTGGAATCCTTCACATTATCCGGTCAGACACCAGAAGAAATAGAAAGGGTGAGAGTAAACAGCGTTTTGATACCAGTCTTCACATGAAGTGAGTCTGTCAGCTTTACTATATTCAGGACATTGCAGTGTTGTCCATCGTATGGACTCTGCATGATGTTAACCATCTTTTTAGGTACGCTATAGTGTCGAAGAAGATTCAGTAAGATTATTCTATCTACACTGCCAAGCGCCTTCTGATGGGCAAGTATGTTGATGTGTAGTATCGAGTAGCATTCAGTTGACTGATCAACGATGTTTCACAGTGTCACGATGTGGTCTATGCACGACTGATCCCTACAGAAATCAGTTTGTTGATCTCGAATTTGAGTTTCTACTGAATCTTTCATCCGGTTCGACAACACGCTTTTGAATACGTTTCCGGTTACCGACAGTAGTGTGATGATTATGTAGTTCTCACATTCGCCCATCTAATGTTTTACAGACAACCCTGCACTATGACACACCTGCATCTCACAGTTGATGTTCACCCTGGGCCACGAACCCATTACCTTTCGTTTCAAACACCATCGCGTTCACCATTTATCTACTGAGTCCTGACAGCCACTTGCTTGTGCAACTGGGTGAATCTAAATTCACTTGGCATTGTTTACTTGTATCTTCCCATTGAGGATTACGACTGCAATTGATCAGTCTCTTTTTGGCACATGTGTATCCTGTGCAGACTGCTGTAGCGTGGTGTTGAGTTGAGCTTGACTATGAACACCGCTACCAGAGATTCGAGCCACAGTTCTTTAACGATTTCAGAGTCGGCTGCCGTGGGTCCTGCAAAAGATTGCAGGCACGTGAGGTGGTGGCTCGGTTTAGCATCACCCAGGGGAGGATCGATTCCTTGAGACGATCGTAAACATTGGGCACATTGGAATTGAGGGCAACCTCACGGACAGCTACTAAATGGTCTCTCGGTAAACGTTCGAGAGCGTAGGCGTACTTCTGCCGTTGGCTTGTAATATGACGGGTTTCGAATTGAGACTCTATTGCAGCGAACCAAACTTCGGGGTCGTGAGGAATAAAAGATACAGGTCGAAAGTGTATAACCTTTACTTCAGAGTCTATTACGTTAATACTATTCCTATCGTTATCCGTCATGTCAAATATATATATTAAAAATTAATATGAAAATATATGACAGACGTGGATAGATAAGCGATAGACTCACCAAAATTGACTTCTTTGGAAGGTTTGGTTGCGATTGCCAAGTGTTCGTAGATGTAGGTTCACCAGTTGTAGAAGATTTGACCGAAGTTGAGGCGTGTTCTAAAATTTGGCTCACCAAATGTAGCGTGGTGTCGATTTGAGCTTGACTATGAACACCGCTACCAGACTACGTGCCAATAGACCAATAAGATTCCGGTAGGCCAAAAATCAGAAGGCAGATGATAGTAGTAGTTGCAATACATTTGTTGGCAATCTCGTGGTATCGAAAGAATACCGAGATCATGCCAAAGGAATACAAATGCGATCGGCAAGAAAAGGTACGTGCGTAGTCGAAAACCGCGTAGAAGTAATGGAGTACGATGGAAAACCAAAATGGCTGTTATTAGCACAGTTAAACAAACGAGCACAATAAAACAATCACTGGTACAATTGGTTATAATAATAATTGTTTTCATCGAACCAATCGCGTTCTGTTGACAAAAGTAGGTCACTACACTGCCTTGATATTGCCTTAGACCAAAAGCTTTATCAACAAAGATGGACAGAGGCTAGCAGTAGAATCCAGGACGCGCGTTTCGTCCTAAGGCAACATTGAAGCAGTCCGCACAGGATGCACATATGGGAATGTACAAGTAAACAACACCAAGTGAATTTGAATACGTGTACGGCTAAAGAGGGTTTGCGTTTCTCTATTATCTATTCACTTCTGTCCATAATTTAAATCAAGGCACAACTAGAATATAATGTCGAGTTAAAATATGTCTTGTACATTGATGCAGAAGCTAAAGTTCCGTAAAAAGATTAGGACAGGAAAAATTGGCCTTTGAAACGACCGGACGAATGAATCCTTCTCTTTTTTCATTTAAATGACAATTCACACGGCTAATAATGCCATTAAACAAAACAAAATCAGGAAGCTCATTATATATTCTCTTTACTCTTTTATGTAACAATGACCGGTTTTTAATATATTTGTTCGGTTGTTTTACAGGTTCAAGTTACTTGTACTTAAACGTTCAGCCGCCAATAAATTTTCCTAATTTGCGTGGTTTATGGCTGTCACTCGGATAGCGATCGTTCTTGGGGAATTATTAGATGAAGGGCAAAAATCATCGTTGGTAAAGGATGTGATTCAAGGTATGTGTAGTTCAAACATACTTAAATTTGTTAAATAGTAGATCTATGACTATATAGCAGGTATGTACCCACTAAAGTTGTCGCTACCCTTGTGTAGTTACATTTCCGTATGATAGATAAATTGTCTTAACAGTTATTACGTAAAGTAAATGCTTGGTATTGAAAGGTTTCAGTGAAAGTTTGAATTTTGCCTCTAGCCATATGTTTTACACAAATAGTGCCAAACAGTCTATTTCTTTCACCACACATGCAACTATTCAGATTCAGATTTGTATAGTAAGGACAGAAGGCCTACGGCGTATGTTATTCCTTTTCTAGTATGCTTCTGTGAGTGTCCAGACTTCTCTTGAAAGAGTCAATTGAAGGTGTGGACACCACTGCTTCGGGCAGCAGGTTCCAAATATTGATGAATCGGTGTGAGAACCTGTATGCCACGGGTATTTTGTTCGTTTTTGGCTTCTTTGCTCGCCTGCTATGTCCTCTGAGATGTCCCGATCTAGTGGAGGGAAAAAGTGAGTTAGATCCGAAATCATTTCTCAGTATTCTGTACATCAAGATTAGACCTCCCCTTAATCTGCGATTCGGTAACAAATACTTAAAAACCTAGTAACCTGATAAGACATTTGCAGTCAAAATCACCGTGTTGACTGAAACTTCTCAGATTGCGTCGATGCCACATTTTTCTTCGTAGTAATAAGGATATTCAGTTGACTAAGTTAACCCTTGTGGCGAGTCTCATTGATTCACATAGTGGCAGAGACAAACTCCTAAGTATAAACGAATGTTTTTTCAAATTTTGAACAATCGCCTTATGTTGACATAGCATAATGAAGAGCAAGTTTCTCAGTACTCGAGTTTCCTTCAAACTCCGTAACTTTCATGTTCGGAACGCAAGGTTTTTGCTAAGATCACATATAACAAGTGTAGTTTGATATGCATTGGGTATAAAATCGAAACCAAGTTCACCACTGTGGCAATAATCATGTAGTGCGTAGCAGAAATTTCTACTGGTTCGGTGATGTATCGAACCACATCCTCAGAATTATGACGACAGTTTCTTCTGTAGTGTTATTGTGATTGCATAAAACTCATCTGATTTATGTTCTCAGATACAAAAAGGATAGGATAACCACTGATTTACTATTTTTGTCCAGTATGACCTAATTGAGTATTCTTGATTAGTGTAAGTAATTTGTAAATAAGAAATATTTGATGTAAGAGTTTTAAATAATTCGTTCAACCTTCTAGCTCATCCGCTATTGTATTTTTGGGTATTTCTTGGAATATCTTGAACATTTATCAAGTATATAGGGGATTTTATTGCAATCGTATAAGGAATAACGTGTTTCAGTGTTACAATATAACAGTAACGAGTTGTTAGTGTCATTGTTTTAGAGATCTCATTCACAATGGTTAAGAGGTGAGTAATTCCTCTAAGAGATACATGAAGTTTGTGTTTTCCGCCGACACATTAAAGCATGTGCGTATTTTCAATCTTTTGATTAATTATGAAGACATTTTATACTTCTCACCCGTTCTAGTTCATTTCAAGATAATTCTGGATTTCTTTGTGCTTCAAGTTAAAATAGTCAACTATTGCTGTAGGTTATTCGTCTGCCTACTCATTAATGGTCATTTCTTTGTTAGGACATAGGGCTAAAATGTAAACTTATCGAATCATGACTGTTCTAAAAGTCAAGCTTATTTTTGGTTTGTATCAAGAAATTTCATCCGCATGATAAGATATCGTATAGCATATTTCCAGTTTTATTTCATTTTTTTGAAGGTTTAATTAAATTAAATGAATTTACCTTTAGGTTTGAGTACATGTCCACCAGATTTTCTGCTAAAGATCCAATCTCATCTGGATAAATTAACAAGCAATCAACAATGTTCATCTGAGTGTGAGTTAACCTACTTTTACATTTCTGGTTTACCTACATTTCAATCTTTAAACCGTGAAAGCATGAAATGACGAACTACTTGTGGCTATTATCTTACCGTTAATACAGAACTAATTTTACGCCTCTTGCTCAGTCTAGTTACTCTTAGAGCGGTAGTATGAAATGAGAATGTTATTGACCACAAATAACGTTCGACTAAGCATATACTTACTTAATACTCTTCCGCGTTTAGCAATTGATCAGGTCTACGCTGTACATGCAGAATAACTTTCTCACTTAAAACGCGATGCTCAAACTCTGCCCTCTGTCCCACTTTTACGATTTCAGCTGTATGGAAGATTAAAAATCGTCATATGGTCATCGGATTCTAAAACCGATGGCGGCGAACTGAGTCGGCCCTATAATGTATTTGGTCCCACGTCGCATTTTACCTATAATGTGTTGTATGTAGTTTCAATTTCATAATATTTATGTCTTTACTTCTCACTTTGATAACTGAGCTTTGTCTTTGAAAATTAGTGAGTGGTAAACTACTGGTGTTTGATGACAGCTATATTGAGATTGAATGACAATAAAACTACTTCGTTATTTGTTCTCCAGGTTTTGTGTGGAACCTCCTATGATGTAGAAGAATTACTGAATTATAGAAATTAGACTTTGTAGCCCCAGTTCATGCAGAACTGTTTTTTAATATCGTCAATATTGGTTGTGAGATGAGCTTTCCAAATTGAACTTTGCTATAATCCAACGACCAGCATTCTGTCCATTCATTTAACAATCCCCAAATATCTTCCATCGTAAATCATACAATCTTCCTCTGTGGTAAACGTCCGGTCGTAACAGTGAATAAGCTGTTCGGCTTTGAAACTAAGTCATTTGCTTTAGCCACAACAATATTTTTCAGGCATTTCAAACTTGTTTAGCATCCTAGTTTCAATTTGTGTTTATTACCTCAAAATGTTCATTATTTTAATTTAGCTTTGTCTCATTACTTATTTATGAGTTTGTATTTTATTTAACACATACTATTTGTCCTGAGAACTGCTCATATATGCTCATATTCGGTTTTAGTTTTGTCTGAGACTGGTATATAGTAGCTCCGAGATCACCTTGTATGTTCAGTTGTCAGCTTATTTAGCTTGTATGCGTGTATTCATTTCTTACTGGTTAAAATACTTTTTTTAGTTACCCATGCAGTTCCTCAAGAATGGAATCCATTGTCGTTCGGTTATTTCACCATTCTCAGTTTTACATTAGAGAGAGACTAAAATTGTTTGAAATATTTCACGTAAATTGTGTATTGTCTGTTCATCATCAGGTATTTTCTCTTACAAAGAAGAAGATTTTGAATTCCTAACCTTATGTCGCCCATCATCATCTGGAATTACGTCGTTATTAACAAGTTTTCTTCAACCATCAAAAAATCCCGATGTCACTCTTAATGTTATTCTTATATACGCTGGCTTACTATCGGATGGATCAGCTCATTGGTTGTTACCCAACTTTGTGTTAACACCTACATTCTTGACTGATTTTATTCAACATTTGTCTACTCTACATCCTAAACCAGTAAGTAACTATTGACTGTCAATTCACTTATCATGTTACACTAAATGAATATTTTTCTGTGTAATTTTTGTCGTAGTCATTCGTTATTGCATATTCAGATATAGTTATAGTATAGCGTAACTGTGTAGATAATATCTTCATTTTTGCTTAATGAGGAAATAAATAATTCACTTCGTAGTTATGCAACGATACTGTACAAGCTAGTTGAGCAGAACGGTTAGAAAATGTTTATTTGAATGTTACTAAATATTTACTATCAGGTTGTATGCCGGATTCTTGATGTGGAGTGTATGGCAATGATGTATGCTATGCACTCCTTGTTACTGTCTATCCAAACATTGGCGAACGTAGGTTTAAATCAAGATTACAAGTGACCAAATCAAGAGGTATTATTAGCTAATAAGGTCATTAACTTCCGGCTTGTATCTCGTTAGGAGGGCTAGAATTTATACCTGGTCTCCTCTAAATAATGCAAACCACTGGTTAATAGCTATTAGTTAAAATTCAGAATGATGCGGATGCACTAATTGTTCATTTCTGAGTCTTTAGCATATTGATGCCAACTACCTGCTTCGGTTTGGCACCCGGGCAGTATCACAGCCCTCACACAAACCAAATGAGATTTGTGTGGCGCATATGTATCTGGTACCCCCTTGTACCAATATCTATGTGTTCAAATAAAAATAAATAAAATGATGTCAATTAGTTTTTTTAATTTTGTTGTCGTTCTACTCTTATTGTTTTTCTCTGTGCTTTTGCGATATAGCAGTTTAGATTCATACACTTTGTTCCAAAATCTACACTAGTGTATCTATCTGTTTAGCATTGAGAGTCCGAACTGTACAAGAGGCAATAGTTTCCTTGAACTTGATCATAGGGAGCTCATGAGTACCAATAAGGTTTTAGGCTTTTATGTTACGTAATTGTAATTTACATTGCACTACGATTTCGTATCATTTAGTCTAGTTACACTATTGGTCCCAGTTTTTATGACTGAATTCACATTGACTTTATATATGGCACTACAACCTAGGAAACACTATGGTTGTACTTCATATCTGCGTTTTGATTTATTGTTGTCCCGGTTGTAGTAATGCTTTATTTGATGGCGTTTAAATCGCCACTTAAGTGAAGAAGTAGTAATACTTCGAACCATACTTCTTGCCTTATACACTATGAAAATACTACATCTGACTATCCGTCTAGAAAGCTTTTGTTCAAACTCGCTTCTTTACGCCTGATATATAGTAAGGACACGAGTGACGGATTAAATATTCAAGACTTGCGGAATATGAAGCTAGTGAGGAAGTTTCGGTAATAGTTATATGTGAAAAGCAATGAAGAAAGTAGGTTAGTAAATAGAATAAACTCAAGCATTACGACTTCCTGACTGTCATCATGTGTAAGAATATTTCTTCCCGAGAAACATTAAGGAAATTAAATTAGTACTTGTGTTTTACTCGAACCAGGGAGCATAAACACAAAGCTCAAAAGATAAATATTTCATAATACCTACTTTTTAATAAGTAATTGTTTCTTGTTTTGTGGCATCAACCTGGTCTTTTTTGTGTCTTGTAGCATATTACTAGTATTAATGAATATACCGAATATCTGTAGCAATCTCCTTACTGTCTTTACGATTTCATCCTGTAATTTTAAACTTTCTAATTCTGATCTTGTTGCTTCTCATCTGTTTGGACCTTTAGTAACAAGTGCATCAACTAATACTACTCAACTAGGTTATCATGATTGCAAAGCCACTATCACGTCTGAGTAATAACTACAATCTGAACTGATAATCAGCATTCACTGATAATATTAGGGGAATCCCATCCTACTTAATTCGACTTTTTTTTCAGCAAAGTCAAAAAAGTCATGGGTACTGCTAAAAGATTCCATGTGTAACACTATTTCCTTTAAATGCCCTTTTTTTGCAGCTTTTCAATCAATACCACCGTTAAATACAATTTTCAAATTATTCGAGTCTTCAGAATCACCCTTTTAATAAGGTTTATTTATCTAATTCAGTTCATTCAGCGTATGTCATGTCTGAAATAAGAAGCAATGTTAATCTGTTTAGGACTGTACTGATTAGTTATAGTGTCAGTTCTTTCATTTTTCTGTTTTTATGTTTCAGGATGATACGGAAAGTCTCCCATCTCACAAACCTATTCGGCTTCACATTGGTATCGGGGCCGTTTCATCGGGTGGAGACTGGCGACACCTTGTTAGCAACCCACCACAGCCTATTGGAGGACATGTATTCCATGTTACAGTTAACCGTTGTCGTACAGTAGCAAAACCAAAGACTAACAAGCCTACAGACCCTCCTTCGCCGTCTTCTAGCTCATTTGGTTAGTATGTATTTCATTTTTTCCTGTTAAACTGACACTGGCAATAATTCTTAGATCCACCCTTTCCCCTAGTTTACCTTCATTGTTTTTAAAGCTTATAACTTCGTATTAGATAATAACTGTTGTTTCAGCCTAACTATTATCGTTACTTTTTCTCAAATTCATTTTAGTTGGAGATTATATATCAATTACACAAAATGTTACATCTGTTTTGATTAGGTATATATTTCTTGATTAAATCCATTAAATTGTATTGGATAAGTCTGTCATGTTTAGGAGTCGTCCGTTTCTTATAGTTGATATGCATGCTTTCTATATGTGGACCCAACTTTATTTGATCTAGGAGACAAAGAATAATCAGGAAGCTGTATTAACTAACCGAATTGAAATATGCACAAGCCAATTTATATATATATATATATATATATATATATATATATATATATATCCCTCGAATAATAGAACCAAATCTCTACCAGTAGAGTTTATTCTTGGACAAAACTCACCTATCATTTGACCTTGGCCTAGCATGTGCCCATAGGCACGAGGTGTAACTGTATCGGTCAAACCTGTTACCTCTTTTCCTGTAGGAAACGTGTTCCTCCTCTAATTCAGCTGTATGAATTAAGATAGGGGAACAATACCTTTCTCTGTTGAACAGTATGTTCTCAAATGGTTCATTGGTTCAGGCGGACCACATCTTTCTGTAGCCCTTCCAACTTTTAAATTGTCATATCTGAATAATAGAACTGGTTGGTAAATGTTGGATGCGCGTGTTGACAGCCCCTGTAGTACTGAAAACTTATCTCAATGCATGTATCATTCAGTCTCTAATGACTAGAAATGGAGAACCCAAATAAATTTGAGGGATACGGCGTGTAATGAAGAAGACTGAAAATGATGACCCCTTATTTGACAACGATCCTGCAGAATTTTATGGGAGAGATGGTTATGTGAGCGAAGATTTAATGGATTGGAAAGTTTGTGGCATGAAAAATCAATTTCTTTTTCCAATCGTCTATGAAACGTAATTACGCTTTAAGTAGTAGTGTCAGTTATATCTGTTGTTTATAAACATTCTATTGTACTGTTTGTATTCATTCATAAGCTATTAATTAATTAACGTTAAGTACCAATCAGTTTAAGTCATATAGATCTAACTATCCAGTGTAAGTAAAACAATGTATTCTAGGTATAGTTTTAACCTATTTTGGTACCAAATAAATCCTCATCTATCATCTTTATGTTGTTGCTTGTGTTGTGCAATTTACAGGTTCAAGTAGTCAATATCAGTTATCAGTCATTACAACAACGGTTAATGCGTTTATCAAAGGTCTATAAAAATCTCCATCTGCACCAGTTTTGTCAGGACAAATAGTAACCAGTCGATTATAATCTTAGGGGTTTCTCAGTTCTACGTATTTAGTAGTTTCACTATTAAGAAACAAAATCAATTTGATAAATCACATTATACAAGGTTGGATACGGAATATAAATGTGTGTTCGGGACTTGTGTATCAATTTCAACATTTTCCATTACCATATTTTAAGGTCGCCTGAATAATATGGAGTATAACACTAAATGCATTTTTGTTGTATCCCAATGAATAGAAAAATTGTATTTCTGACGTTTCGTGACTTAATGTAAGCCACTTTTTCAGAGTTACTTTCTACCCAACGCTCAATTTGTTTTAGACCATCAAGTCCAACCCTGGCATTGATACCTATGGATACAGGGTAAAAGTTTACCCTAATAATCGTCAGTTACTTAGCATATGGAGTGTTGTGCATCCACTCACTCTGTTAGTGTTTCATTAATAATAGCATTTCAAACATTCAAGTCATTCTTAAATGTGGAATTAAAACGTATTCAGTAGAAAAACATAACCTTTGTGACGTAAGGATCCCCGATAATCTTTCATTTTATGATTGATATTTTGGCTCATAAACTTGAGGTTTTTAGTTATTCTAACTCTTAATATTTTCCACTAATAAATATTTGTTATTACTGTTTTTTAAATTCTAATTCAGATTTTGAGAGTTTTCTATGTGATATGCTAACCAAACTACCTGATCCTTATTGTATTCCTCTCAGTCAAACTTTGGTAATGCGCTCACCAACTGATCTTACACTTAAAGTTTCCAAACCTTGCATTTATGTGTTCCCTGAAGGTTCTGGGCAGGCATCTATCCTCGCTCTTCCTTTTTACAATATGTTAATTGATGGAGGATGTAGTCATAAACCTTGCTTTTGGTCTGTTGCTAATTATCTTGATCGGTAAGATTTTTTTTTTAATGGGAAGGGAATTACCGCTATTCATCATGATAAATTTTGGATTCTTTTATGATTGTTGTTAATTTGAAATTGGGTGTGATTGAAATAATTAGTGCGTAGGTGTCAGTGAAGATAATCGTTGTTGTGTAAATGTTTGCTAAATACAGTTAGGCTCCTAGAATTAACCACACCTTTTTTATAGAAAGGTCACTCATAGTTATTTGGTATATTAATTTACAAGAATAAATCTCAATATATTGTTTTAATAGTGCCTTGATTTTTCTTACTATTTTCTTCTAAATGTACTCTTTTGTCCAGTGAATAGTTTCATGCTTAAACCATACAGTAGCAATTTTAATTGGCTATGTTGCTTATTTGGTTTGCTTTTGTGTTATGCTTGAGTTCTGTTGGGACAATAAGATCCGTATATTTTCTAACTTTAACTGTAACGTTTTTTTTGCCGAAAATCATGAGTTCTGACGTTCTATTTCCACTTTTTTCTTAAGGTTTTCTGATGTTTCAAATTGATTATTTGTTAGCACAATTCCAAGGAAATTTTAAGTATACTTGCGTACGGTAGTTGTGCACTTAATCAACCTCTTAAAGATTCTTATTCTCACTTTAATATATAGTATGTTGAGTTAAGTAGAGGTATATGAAGACATGATATTCCAGGATAGCTTTCACTTTGTGATAATCCTGTATTAATCCGTTAAATTGTTGTTAACAACGTAGGCTCTGGGATAAAAAGGTATTAGTACAAGTTGCTGAAATCTGCATCAACATGCAAGAAGAAAATGATAGTGATGAAGAACTGAAAAGTATAGATAGTAATATAAAGATTAGTAACGTATTAAAGGTAGGAAGTGTAGTTAAAAAGACGAATTAATTGATTGAAATGAATAAAGAATGGGATTTAAAAGAAGTTGAAGATTAAATGAAACTGCTATTACGATCGACTTTAGCTTATACAACTAGTGAGGAAAAATGGTTTAAATTTTGTTTCTGGTTAGCGTTTTTTAGTAAGGTTGTTTTTTACGGGATGGGGTTTCTAACCCCTTACCAAACTTTTCTTTATCCGGGCTTGGGACTGGCATTAACTCTAGAAGGGCAAGATCTTGAAATACAACACGGAGAACACCGACTCAATCGCACTTGATGGTGAAGCTCTGGAAGAGGTGGAAACTTTCACATCCCTGGTCAGCATCATCAATGAACGTGAAGGATCCGATGCAGACGTAGATGAAAGGATTGACTAGCAAAACAAGGACAACATTCCTACAATTGAAGAACATATGGAACTCAACTGTCAACCAATATCAAAGTTACAATCTTCAATACAAACTTGAAGTCAGTTCTACTGTATGGAACTGAAACTTGGCGAACTGCTGCCACTATCATCAAACATGTACAAGCATTCATAAATAATTGTTTACCCAAGATACTCAATATCCGTTTACCGGAAACCGTCAGCAACAGCCTACTATGGGAGAAAACATACCGACTTCGAGCCGAGGAGCGAATAAACAAAAGGCGTTGGAAATGGATAGAACATACATTTCGTAATCGCTAAATTGAAATCCTGAAAGGAAACAGGAAATTGGAAAACCAAAGGAGACATTTTATCAGTAATTAGAGGTAGACATAAAAAAGATGAATAGCAACTGGATACAAGTGGGAAGAATTGCCCAGGACAGATTTGGATGGAAAATGGTGGTGGGTGGCACGTTCTCTTTGTGTTCTCTCAAACTCTAATCTTCTGTATTCTTCATGTCCTTTATTTTCTTTCCCAATTTATTCCACTGGACTATACTCCTTTAATAACATCATCAAACCTTAATGTCCCCTATCTCTACTTATACTTTCACTACCTCTTCCACTACGGGATTTGAATCGATATCTGAATCTCTGTGCTAATGTGGTATGGCAACTCGAACTGATGTACGTACGTACGAAGTTCCACGTTGTTACTGACTGACTGACTGACTGACGATGGGTTTCAGGCGTAATTAAGTAACTAGTAAGGAAGAATATGCCTTCCGATAAGTCCAAATTATCAGATAGGGAAAGTCAACTAATACCATGGCTTAAACTGGTCGTCTTTAGCCCCTTGCAACTTCTATGATAGCCTAGGACTTTGAGGTAGTCTTTATCTGAGCATATGTAGCAAATGTTTCGCTAACTTGTATTATAGTTTCGGAATCCTACTCACAATTAATCTCAACATTACTCATTTGGTGGCCCTTCCACTCACAGTTTCTGCTTTGTAAGACAATTTTTATGGATGCTGGGAACCTACGTATGTCCAATTTCATAGATCATGTAAAGTAACTCAGAGTAGAACTACTGTTTGAGGATACTTGCCCTTCAATAGAAGAAATGACAACTCACGCCACAGATAACGTAATGTCAACCAGTCATTTTTGACTGTTGTGAACGTTATTTAACAAAAACCAAGCGACCCTCTTGTATCCAAACTGTTATTTCACTAGTCTCTATTCTATTAGAATAATTTATTTCTAAGTTAAAATACCGTTAATTTAATTAAATCTTTTAACCAAGAATTTACTTTTTGTTTAGTAATTCTCAATAAACAACTACTTTGTGAAGTAATCTCTCTTACTCTCTCTATGCATATCTCTTCCGAAAGTTAATTAATTATTTCGTTATTTGTTCTTATTTATCATCAATATGGTTATTAATCAACGATTTTCTCTTTCTAACCCAACTTCTGTCAGTAATGTATTTATATTAATTGTTTTCTTACACCGTTGTTTTATGCGTACACAGTACATATTTATGTCTATGTCTATGTATATTATCATCAGTTTGATGTTTCAGAATTTACTCTGTAGATAGTTTCAAATAGTTTGTGTGTGTGTGTATGTATGTATGTGTATAATAATTTTCTTACGAGTTACTCATTCTCACATAGTTAATTTGTTATGGACTACTTAACTCGTTCAGTAGTTAATGGTTTGAAAGAAGAGACATAATCAACAAACAAAACAGGTGGTAAATTAATTTTGATAATAAAGAAATTGTTTCTTAGGAATTTTCATTTAAAATTAAGGTAGTTGCCTCTTCTTCACAATACCGATCACATTTTTCTGATTTCTATCAAATTTTAGTAGGTGTTCTATTGAAACGTAATTTCTTCGCCTATTTTATCATCTGTCACGAAATCATGCAGATAAGACTTTCTCGGATAAATTCTAGTATAGTAAAAAAAAACAAACATTATGCAGTAATCTTGAAGTATGTATAAGTTTACCCTGCTTCGGTTTGGGCACCTGAGCAGTATCACAGCCCTCACACAAATGAAATGAGATTTGTGTGGCGCATATGTATCTGATGCCCCCTTGTACCAGTATTTATGTGTTCAAATAAATAGTATGAGTTACACCCCGTCAAGATATATTTCTAGAGGTGGATCACGATGTAATTCTTTATGTTGACTATAGATACCGAAATAATTGACATTATCCATTACCTCAGTTGTATAATTTAAATATACCAGTTCTAGCGTGTATTAGTTGATGAACATGATTTGGAATTGGTCATAGTAATGTAGAAGGATTTACTTTTAAAGTTCTTATCGATTACACGAGGTTGGTATTGGTAACCATAAGTTGATTTATTTTGAAACTAACTTATTATTTTTTAAAATTAAATTGGTAGTTAAAATGTTTGATTTTTAGGTCGCGCATTTAAATTTCATTTGAATAAATTTTTATGTCAAATGGTATCATTAAGGTCTAATCACCTTAAACCATAATCTGATGTATGTCACGAAGTTGAATCAAAACAACAGCAAGCTAAACCTATTCTCTACTATTTTACAGTCTGTATTGCTCCAGTCATTTCATGTAAAAATCTTAGTACTACTCACTGAATAATGTTACAACAGGACGGTTTGTTATTTTTGTTCTTACAGCGCTCGGATTATAGCGAGTTGGTTTTTAAACTCAACTAAGTTCAGATGTCATTTATAGACCTTGATATTACAAATGTTTTATATCTTCCATGAGCTTCTTGTTTATCTAAAATCAGTTAAAAAGTAATTATATTTAGTTTCATAGTTCTTTCATTTCAGTTTATTGATGCCAAAACTTGAGAATGATTTACAAATTCTCATTTTATTCTTTAGCCTGGATTCTGTTCTGGTAACTCATTGGGGTATTGATAACATACTCGGACTGAATACGATTCTTCCGACAGTTTTCAAACCAAGCAACGATCAATCGTTACTGTGTCTTCTGACTCCTCCACCGAATATTAACAACATGAAAATCAATAATCATACTCAAGATCCACTACCGTTTACGGTTAATCTACCAATGTATTTTTCTAATTTAGTTGGAGAAATAAAACGTTCTGGTACTAATCTCATGGTCTATCCAGTCACTCGAGGAGGAAAACAGTCAGTAGTTCCAAAACCACTACAACTTTTCCAGAAAGTAAGTTATTTTATCATACAACTTGTTAGTGATTACATCAAACTTGAATAATCTCTTGTGTCTTCCGATCGTGATTACTGATAAACTGAATTATGAAAATCAAGTGAGAACACAATTCTTGAGTTGACAATAAAACGTGAACCTGTAGAGCCTGACTTCTAAAAACGTCTAGAGATATAGACTAAATATAATATTTTTCAACTAGATTTTACAACCATTAGACAAATTGGAACAACAGTTTCTCTCTGGTTGTCTTTCTTGCATCAGAGCATAAATGAAATGTATGTTTAGTGAATACACATTTTTTTCAATTGGCTGATGATCCCCATTTAAACATTAAAAACATTTTTCTTATTTTTTACGTTTTCTATTTTCAATATTTCTTTTAATGTAGGTAGGTCAAGGTTGTTTGGAGTTATTCCCATTGACCCCTGGAGATGATGATTCTGCCGAGTTGCGCAAGTTAAATGATGATTGGTCTAAATGTGCTCCTTCACTAATGGCAACATCTGTCCCATTAAATAAAAGTTCAGGAAACAAAACGACCGTTCCACTTGTAAGTTTTACAGGTATATTAAGAACTAAAGTTCTGGTTTATCTGAAATAGCCAAAACCTTTGGGTTATAAGGTAAATAGGTATTCAGTGGTGTTACTTTCGTCTTTATTGTTACGACGGTTGGAAAAGAATTATAATTAGTCTTGTGATGTTTTATCATTCATCTTTGATTATTCATTTATTAAGTAATGAATAGATCATAGTTAAGCATTCTCCATACAACTAATGTTTATACTTTCCTAGTATTTATACACCTAGTCAGTTGGTTAATAATGATTCTACGCCTTAAAATATATTCATTCGGGATTTGACAGATTGATTCATTAAGTAAATTGTCATTTGGTTAACTATACTCTTGGTCTTATTGTCTACGTTCTCAAATCTTCCCCAATTCAATCACTTGTACATGCTTGCACTTACCTTGTTTTTATTTGTGTGATTAATTTGTATCTTTTATTGGTTATTTATTTATTTAAATACTCAAATATTGGTTCAAAGGGGCGCCAGAATATATATGTGCCACATAAATCATTGAATTCGTTTGTAGGTTGGGACGATGCCCAGGTGCACACACTGGAGCAGGTGGTTGTTTTAGTGGGTCGCTCCCTTCGATTCAAAGGTTTAATCCGCATGGTAGTGGGGCACTGTTAGGAAATGCGATCCCATGGCAGATTCATATGCCATTTGTTCCCTCAGCTTCCTGGAGTCCACCTTAACCATTGTTTTGGAATCAGGGTTTTCCAATTCCTTTAGTTTGACTCCGTACGGCTGAACCTGGTTTAACCGCTGGACACTCGCTTTTCTTCTTTTTTTCGTAACACCCCCGCGCGAGAAGGTAATGTGTAGGACTTCCCTGTTAGTGGCTGTGTACGCGTGGTCATATGAGAGCATCTCTAGAGGGAGATGGGACTTTTCTCAACCGTATCCGAGCATTTGAGGATCTCTTATTGGTATATACACTCAGGGTTTGGCATGTCTCCATAATCTATGAACGTGTACAGAGTTGCTTCAGTTTTAATTTTTAATCCTATTCTGCTAACTAACAATTGACAGCTTGTTATCTGTTTTTTTCTAAGCTTAAATATCAAATAGTTTCATACAGTTGTTTTCATTAAACACAGACGGTGTATGCAATACAATTTTTCGTCCTATAATTATAAAAATTATTTATTCATTGGAATTCAGGATTTATGATGGCTAATTTGTACTTTTGTCAGCTCATTTTTTATACATATAATTAACTTTTTTTTTGAACTGTTAATAATTAATATAACTGAGGTCTAGGTTTATCATCAGCGATTGCATTTCATTATTGATTTTAAGCATTTTGTAATAAAAGTACAAAATTACTTATATGTAATTTGGTGATAACTCCAAAGAATTCACTATAGAGTGTGATCTTTGAAAAGTAAACTGTAATAGACAATGAATAATGGATAAACTCCTTTTCTTGTAAATGCCTACACCCTAGTTATTTATTACAAAATGATGAAATATTCGTTCAGATTCTCGACATTTTGATCTACTGTTTTTGAATACAGTTGCCTTGAAATGTATCATGTAGTAGAAAATATTCTGGCTTACCCTAAAAAAAAATGAGTGGGCTATTGAATGTAAATATTTTCTTTATCAGGTTAAAATATCTAGTAAAGAGACTATCATATAAACTAATTGATCATTCAGTAGTAAGCAATATTATGTCAGTTAATTCTTTTACTTTATTCTATCTGATTACTGATAACTAGTTATCATGGTGAAGTTTTTAGATGTTATTTAGTAACTGTTGCATTCTGTTATACTTGAGTCTTTATACTAATTGATACCTGATAGTAGGATATAATTGCGATCTTGGCAGATGAGATATTTTCAGCTGTATCCGTCTATCAATAAAAGGACGAGTATACTGCACGGTAGTTCGTTCTGTTTTACTTTACGGCCATTAAGAGTAGAAGATACTCGTAAGTTACTGGTATTTGTCCACAGATGCCTTAGAAATATTTCTGGCATTTGGTGGGATCACCGGTTGTGAATCTTCATCGACTGAGATGGTTGGGCCACGTGTTATGTATGCCTGAACACCGATTACCAAGACGTGCGATGCTGACTGGTGTTGGCGATGGCTGGAAGAAAGTTAGGGTAACCAAACCAAAACGTGGCATCAGTGCTTGAAGTCCCTAACTTCTGGTCTGAGCCATGTTGGTAGATGCAGACTACTTCGTTGGGGTCCGCGTGACTATCGTAACTAATAGTTTGAGACTCTTGGTGACATGGCTCAGGATCGATCACACTGGCGTCGGTGTATACACTCTCTGTCTTCCCTTAAGCTAAGTAATTAAAACCACTTCATATCTTTCTTTCTACGTACTAAATCTTACTTCCTGTACTATATCCTTATATGCAATCTTTCTTATATATGTTACCACCATTGATTTAACTACTCCTATGTATGCGGTGTTAATCTTGCTGTACCAACCAAGTTAAAACTCATATCTATATTTTCTTGACAGGTATTACCAACCAACTTACATCGAAATACTATAGAATCTACTAATATATTATACAAAGTCATATTAATGCCATCAATACTATTTTTGAAATCCGACTATTTTAAGGTTCCAATGTTTACTTGTTATATATACTTGGTTATCAGTTTATTTATTTTTCGGTGTTTGTCGGTGATAGTATGAATAAAACTAACAGTTATCAGTTAGCATTAGGTCTATCACTTTTTTTTCTGAAGTATAAAGTTTTTTTCTCAGATATGCAACTATGTGAATATGAAACTAATGATTATTCCAATATAAAAACTGTAACTCTTATTGTAAATAAATGTGCAAATTACTACTTGGGTGTTTTTTTTTTTAAAATAAAGTAAGTGAATTCGAAAACATACAATCCAATCATGCAAAAGTTAATTGTCTCAGTAAATGAGTCACGGTGTTTATTACTCAGAGCTTATTCACATTCTATTTTTCTTTATAAATTATAATTAATCACATTGAAATGTGTATAAACTGATATATGTGATTCTATAAATGGTATAATTTACACGTGTTAAACAGAAGAATAATTATTTCATGTGAGGTACTGTATTAGCTATTTATCTTAGTATACATGTACCCTTAATTGTTTGATGATTATTATCCGTTTTTGTTACATTCGGATTTTGTTTATTTTTAATATTCCAAATGTCACATGTTCCACTTATGGTATGTTTATCATCAAGAAAAAAAAACCAACCAACAAACAAACGATAGTTATGCATTCACAATTGAATTATGGATAAATAAATATTTACTGAATCCTATTTAAAAGTTGCCCATATTCATATTATTCAAGAATTATTATGTTACTCGGTATCTGATTTGCGTAATGCATATAGTAATTGGTTAATTATTGATTGGTGATCAATGATATGTTTGTGGGGTCCATTATTTTGTCGTTATTTTGATCGGACGATGTTGTCGAACGGCTCTCCACTTTAGTGGCCCGAGATTTGACTCCGATTTGATCATATCGCCTATCCTCGTATATAATCATCGACTTAAATCGCGTTAGTTAATAACGGAATTAAATAAGTCAAATAACGAGAATAGACTTTTGAATACGTATATTTTGTATGTGAAGCTAATGGAATAGAGCGAAGAGAAACGACGCGCAGTGGAAATGGCGGTAAGCCAGTTCCCATTTGATCAGGCGTTAATCAATATTTATAAGCACACAAAAATAAGTTACAGACATGTGATGAGTAATGGGGTAAGAAGTGTACACACGTCAACGCGCTCGTATAAAAACAGCGAATAATTAACAAAGTCAAAATGTGACTCAATTAGAATGAATAGAATGGGCTGTCCGAAAGTTAGAACTACGTATTTAGGCTTAACATAATAACAGACACTACATGTTTGTCTAAACCTTAGTGATGATCGAATTTAAGCGATAGGGTTGTAATATGGTTATTGGTCTAAGTAATTTGATATGGCGTGAACTATATGTTACTATCGCCGGGATACCCTGGATCTAAGTTTCATGCTTTGTAGGTATTTGACAAAATGGCGTTTATGTAATTATGAGATAACTGATTCTCCCTAAGTTTTTTAAATCTTCTGTTTTAGCTTTCCTACACAAGTGTATCAGCTTTGGTTGTTTGGAGACCTACTAAAGATACTGAACCTATACTTCGATTTCTTTTTGTATCACCAAATGCACATCAAACACGTATTTTGTCAAGTCTTGATGCATTAATTACTAGTTTCATCTACCTTCGTCATCCTAAAGCTGTCCCAGCAGAGTTGGAACGAAAACGACCATCACAACCTTCAAGTGCTGGTAATTTCCATATTTTTCTTTGTTGTTATGATGTATTTTTGACAGTACTATTTTCCATAGAAGTATAATTCTGTTCAAAACTTTCTATTGGTTCAATATTTTATTTATTTATAAAAAAATACAGCTTCACGTCGTCCAACGGTACCAGTAACGCACGCAACATCTGGTAGTAATGAAGGCAGTATCAATTCTGTGGGACAAAATAATCATAATACTACTACTTCTCGACCATCTCATGTAGCAAAGAAGGGGACGACGACAAAGACAACACAGGACACTGCAACACATCGGCCTCCATCGTCTAAAACACCTGCAAGCAGTAAAACACAAGCGAATGCTAAACCTCCTATTAACAAAACGAATCATGTGGTTAAAAATGCTGATACTGTTATGGAGTCACCACCTAAACAACTAGAGGTTCATGATAATGGTAAGTAAATACTTTTAGCATAGACTATGATTAATGAGATGATATTTTAATATAAAACTCTTAAGGGAACACAATCTTTAGTTTATAGATTATAAACCAATTATGAAAGTTTTTAAAGCGAGAATAGTAATTCCAGTCGTAGGCTTTCTAAAGTATGGTTTAGACTGATAAACTTATTCAACGTATTATAAATCTCACGGTTTTTTTTAAAAGAAATTCTTAACACTGTCAACCTGTTTTACATAAGCAAAGAAAGTGATCTAAATTTTTCTTATCATTTCTGATGTTAAGTAGATCAATTCAGCACTTGATCCGATTTTTTCAAAAATAATAAAATCGGGTCAAATGCTGAATTGATCTACTTAACATCAAACTTTGAATGACATGGCTCAAAATCGTTTGCAATGGCGCAGGTGCACCCACCCTCTGTGTTCTTCATGTCCTTTATTTTCTTTCCAAATCTATTTCACTGGACTATACTCCTTTAATAACATCATCAAACCTTAATGTCCCCTATCTCTACTTATACTTTCACTACCTCTTCCACTACGGGATTTGAATCGATATCTGAATCTCTGTGCTAATGTGGTATGGCAACTCGAACTGATGTACGTACGTACGAAGTTCCACGTTGTTACTGACTGACTTGTTTTTAAACGGTTTTTTTATCTCCAATTTAGTACGTATATATGTATATATATAGTAGATTGTTATTATTATGATATTAACCTTACAATTATGTACACAGTGCAGTGCTCGTTACATACATCTAACAATGTTTCTTTACAAATATATAAAAAGTGAAGCACAGAACTAATGAATAGAATAAGTTAGGCTGTCCCGAATTTCGTCTTGTTTTGTTTTGTTTTTTGCTTTTCTCAATAAAACGCCCCATTTTTATTGATTCAGTAGTTTAAAGGAATTTTTATTTCTTCACTGTGATTGTTGACTAATTCACTAGGATATTATTTCATGTAGAAATGAATAATAAGCGCCATTAATTATAAATTAACTTTGTGTACATATATATATATATATGTATGAATATATATGTACATATAATCAAGAGTCAACGTAGAATTCTATATAAACTCTGGTTTAATAATCATTTGTCAGTTTGTTAATATTAAATTATCCATTAAACATTTATTGTTTATAGATATGAATGCTAATTAGTTTGAACTTGTGAATTTGAAGTGAATGTTACCGCATATGTGAACTACTAGTACTAGTACTATTACTACTGCTTCTTCTAAAAAAATGATTGAACTATTTGTGTGTTGATACTATTCTGTTGACATTTTTCCTCATTCCACTTGAGTGAAGCTATATTTATATTGTTAGGTATATATATATATATATATATATATATATATATATATATATATATATATATCTAGCACTTATATGTTTTGTTTCAAGCTTTACACCATTGTTATATAGCAAGTTATAAAGATAAGTACCAGAATAGTAGGACTAGTAACAATATCAGTGATAGTAGAAACAACATAATCCTACAAGAAAAGAATGAATTTACAGAATAAAAAATTGACACTTTTAAAGTCAAGATCTAAGGGAAAACAAAAACTGAATAAATCCTCTATATTGCGACTGATTTTGAGCTATTTTACCCAATAATCACATGTACTGTAGTTTAACCACATGACTCAGGCCAACAGTCATTAACTTCATGAACTGATATTATATCTTGGTTTGACCGTCATTATCTTTATTCCATATTACTCATGTATCAGCAAATATTCATGCATTAGAGTCTGACATGGCCACGGTGCCCCCAAATGCCGTGGTACAGCCGAGAGTGGGGAGAGTTCGCTCTCCTTCTCGAAATTCTCTCACATGGCCACGCGTATATAGCCTCTGCCAGGGAAGTTCTACTCACTGCCTTCTCGCACCACGGGTGTTGTTTACGAAAATGAGAGGACGAAAAGCGAATGTCCGGCGCTTTAACCGGATCCCAAACTAATGGTGCACATGGGCTCCAGTATCCTGAAGGAAAAAATGGCGTATGAACCAATCGTCGGTCACCGGCTACCATGAGACTGCATCCCCTTACGATGCTCCACTGACTTGTGGGTCAGACCTTTAAGTCAAAGGCTCGGGGTGTGGCCCCCTAAGAAAACCACCTGCTTTGGTTTGGGCACCCGGACAGTATCACAGCCCACACACAAATCAATTGAGATTCGTTTGGCGCATATGTATTTGGTACCTCCATGTACCAATACCTATGTGTTAAAATAATAATAATAATAATAATAATAATAATAATAATAATAATGATAATATTAATAATAATAATAATGCATTAGAGTATGGAGTGGTTAAGGATATGTAATACATATTCAAATCATCTCCGTCAATGAAGGTTCGCTATTTCATGAGATGATTTGCCATTCTTACTTAATAAGTATGAATTACGGTCTATTTAACACATTTTAAACAACTGTTTCAAATAAAAATAAGTCTTACAACGAACAATTTAAAAAAAAATCAAGTGTTTTTTATATTGATACATGTATGCTTTCTTTTACTCGCAATCAGTTATTCCAACAACTTGTTTACTATAGTGAATAAAATTATATTTTTTTCAATTTCTCTCTACAGAAGTTTCTACACCAAATTTGATACCTTCAGAATTAATTACTGAAAGTTCCGGTATTCATGATGTATCAAATAATATTATCAATGGTGATATTATGCATAAAACAAATGGTTTTACTCATGATCTTTCCGATTTTGAGCCTTCTGTTAGCTCAGAACAAACGAATCATGATTTATTAATTCATGATATGAATTCAATGAAATTGCAAGATTATGGTGAAAATGTTTTTATCGCTGCTGATAATCTTAATAATAATAATGATACTAGTGTTAATAATAATAATAATTTAAAGGATAGTAATCAAATGATGTCAACCGGTTTAGATGAATATGATCCTATTGCATCATGGGGATCGCCCCAGAATTTGCCTTTACCGCCTACAGGTAACAGTAAAAGTAATTTTTTAGATTCCAATTACCTTTGTTAGTTTTTTATTTATATTAGTAGTAGTAGTGTTTTCGTATGAATTGTAATAGCTTCATCATTTATTTACTGGCTAATACATCCAGCTGTATCATTGTTCACACAGTTAGCATATATATTTATTATGTAACTGAACAGTGATATTTTTAGCATTCATGTAAGACCTATATATTTCTTCAACTACTTGGTTGGGGTTTGCACGACTGTTGTAACCTATGATTAGAGTCTGTGTAACATGGCCTAGAATCGATTACAATGACTCAGGTTTATACACATTTTATCTTCCCTTAAACCGTGAGATTAAAATTGCTTTATATCTTTCTTTCTACGAACTAATTCTTTCTCCCTGTATCATATTATATAAATGTTTTTCTTTAACTATCATTCAAATAACTGCTATAAGTTTGATGTTCATCTTACTATGCTAATGAGGTATGGAAACCTAGACTGATGCATACATGTGCCTGGTCCTACATTGTATCTAACTGACTGACTCGAACTTATCTAGTGTATCATTTCTTGCAAGATTGCGATACGATTGTTTTCACTATAACTGGCTTTATTTCTCACATAATATCTCGTTTATAACTTTTTCTCTTGTTTATTTTAAGTAATATGACAGCAAAACTTAATCCTAACAGAATTAATTAGCCATGAATGCCATTGGAGAGTAAATGATGTGTAATTCCCGTATCCTCCAGTCATTTATTTTCTAAATTATTCCTGATCATATTTATTCTTCGGTTCAATATTTTGTATATAAGGTTGTTATTTTTTCCAAACTGGCCACTTTATGATTTAAAATGAAAAGGTGTTTGGAGGTCGTTAAAATAACAGGCGAAATAAGCCGATCGATTAATAGTATACAATGAGACAGATGTATTCTAATGATGGGTGCGTAGTAGATTGAATTACTGGCGTAAACACCATAAGTGTTTTTTTTTTGAGATCAATTAACACGACAACTATACATATAGATTACATAGTATCAATACTTTACAACTGAAAAGAAAAACATTTCGTACAATGGGGAAGCAAAAGAATGCGCCATAAATAGTGGAATGATGATTTGTTTTTATTTGACGTAATAAAGGCGAATAAAGATTGTAAAATCAATAAACAAATGAGCAAAAAATGTTAATTAATGCAGTAATGGTATGCATTTCATTCGAAAATATTTGTACATATGAGGTAGATTTCTATCGATCAACCAGATATCCCTTATTGATGGAAAAAAATGATCATAAAAGACAACAAGATTACCACTGGCCTGTATTCCTGACCATATCTCAAATGTTATTGTCGATGCCTAGTTTTTTTTTTCTGTTACTACCTCTACTAATGTTTGAATAATTCTTTCTGGTTAGCGTTTTTTAGCGAGTTAGTTTTCCACGGGATGGAGTCGCTAACCCCATGCCCAACCCTCCTTTATCCGGGATTGGGACCGGCAGTTGCCACCGGAGGGAGTTGAGTTTATCTAGATAGTTTCACTTGACGGTATTGATATAATGTAGCAACTTAAGCCGATTCATGTACACATTAGGATCTACGTTGGTTATGGCTAACTGATTGAAGGATTAGCTTTTATTCTAAGTTTATGTCTGATAACATCTATCACAATCAGTCATTCACTAATAGGCAGTGTAGAAATTAGCATTAATGCCTATCAGTTCAAGTCGTATTGTAACTCAACAACTCAGCAGCACATCATAAAAAAAAGACGAAAGGAAATAAATGTGTCAATGGACATAATGGGAGAGTCTAAGCGTGACATCTATCGAGCGTTTACATGGAATAAATGAAATCAAAAACTGAAAAAAAGAGTGATGGGAATGACTTCCAATAAACTCAATATCTGCGAAAGAAATTATCAGTATGTTTACAAAAAAAACCTACATCTCTATTTAAGTTGTTTTTATTGATTTGGATTAATTTTGTTTTAATCTTATTGTTTTTATTCTATACAGGTTCAGAAGTTGGCAAAAAACCTGAAACAGTTGTAACAACAAACGGTGAAAAGAAATCCGCATGTATGACAACATTACAGTTATTATTATCATTACTAATTTATTATCCTACATCTTTTTGTTGCATTATTATTGTATGAATAATTAATAATGAATTATTGATGACAAAATTGTCAATACTTTAACATGATTTCTTTTTTTCGTATGGAATTTACATCACTGTATAATGATGATACGATGCCTAAATATTAAACCCAACAATTAAGTCTTAATTGATTATGGCCTAGTTGACGTACATGTTCATATCTTCCAATCACCTATAACAATTTATTGTTTTGTTTCCGTGTTCATATTCTGAATAGTAGTATGTTATTTTATTACATTAAAAAAACTATTCATCTGAATAGTGATCTTTGATTTCTTACCATTCGGGAGGCCAAAGTCACTAATATGGTCTCCCGAGTAGCCATCACTCGGTCATATTATCTCATTGCTTATCGTCTATCAACTATCATTTTATTCAGCCAAACTTCTCTGTCTGTCTTTATCCTTGATTGTTTGTCGACAAAAATGTAATTTTGATTCTAAAATACTAAACCTTTTAAACTAGTTTAATGACAACGTTGAATTGCTTAAATATTCACCTTATATTTGCATAATGGTCGATATTTTTCTTCGAAAAAAGTCATCAAAATTATAGAGCAAAAATATTGTACTTGAATTTTTTTCTTGTCATCAAAATATTTGTCATACTATATTTCTGGTTGTCTCTGCATCATGCTCTGAGTATGACAATTTCTGTCTAATTTTACTGATAATAAATTAGTTTTTGATCGTTTCCCCCCCTCTTCTCTCTTCAGCTCATTTGACGAGGAGGGTTACATCTGTCAACAGTAGTAGCGGTAGTACAGCATTAGGTGCAACAAAAACTGGTAAGTTTATGATTGATAAACGGACATTAATATTATCATTACTATTATTATTATTATTATTATTATTATTATTATTATTATTATTATTATTATTATTATTATTAGTATTAGTATTAGTATTAGTAGTAGTAGTAGTAGTAGTAGTAGTATTTCCTGTTTTCCGGTTTATTTCATCAGTTTTTTTTCAATATACAGTAACTGGTCATTTAAGCAATGGTTATAAACGATATTAAATCTGGAGTTTACATACTTCGGCAAAAATTAATATCGGTTGATTCGAGTCCGAATTTTTGTCAGAGGCTGAGACCTAGTTAGATGTTTGTTTGATGAAACTTAAATCGGATTTTTGTGTGAAGTTTATCAACTCTTTTCGATGTCTCGCAAAATTGTATCCCAATTGACGAAGGTTATATTTGAAAGGTGGATAATGTAGCCCTAGCATAGTTGAGCACATTTTTCTTAGGTGTTTTGGGAACTGAAGTTTTTTTAGAATCAAAGTTTTATCCTCAGAGCATTTGTTCACAATGGTATCGAGATATTCTCTGGATTTCTCGCAATTGTTTAGTTTCCGAAAACCTTAGCTTCTTGTCAATTTAATTGGAATGACATGTTGAGTTTCCTTCAACGTTTTAAATATTGAAACCGTTAAATCACAACCATACAAGTTTGAGAATGATAAAAACTACATTTAGATGTTAGAAGTTAAATTTGCCAAAGGCCCTCACATAAACAGTGTAATCTGTATTATATGAGCCCATATTTAATAATTACCAACGATAGTTATTCAACACATTCATTTCTATAGTTTTTTAGCTCTCAGATATAACAAATCCTAGTAAGGAAGTTATCTTCGTTGGTCCCATTGAAGAAAAAAGACTTAGGTATCATCCGCAACTTATCACGAATGCATATCGATTGAAATTCATGAAGAAAACCATTCAGGTTAGAGCCGAGTCAGATAAATACAGTCCTCGAGAAGCATGTGTTCCTGAAATTAAAGCTCTTAAATGACACTGTCAATGAACTAATAACACAACGTGTAATACAAGTCATGCATGAAGCATTTACTACAACTAAGCTGTATGTGTTATCTATTCCACAACCGTCGTATTATTAGAACCAGAAATAAGGATTTCTTGAATTCCCCTCATCCGTGTATTTATCAATTCAGCTGTTCCGGTAGAGCCTTCATGACAGCAGAAAAATTAGAGAAATCCGTCATCGATTTTTTGTAGAGGATCCTAATGGGTTAATTAAAGGAGATTTGAGGCTAATCAAAATCTCTATATGTAATCACCCAATTAATTCAAGTAGATGCTAGGGAAAAATTTCAATTTTACTTTATATTGAAGCTATCAACATCTGTCTTAACAAACCTGACCATTGTATTCATAAAACAATTTGTACATTCACTCTTGTTTTCTATTTGCCTTTGCTCTAAAAAAAAATGATTAACTACATATGTATTAGTTTTGTTTTCTTGTTTTAATTGTAATTTTCAATAGTTATTGCTTGATTGATAGTTTTGTTTCGGATATAAATTAGTGTTTAACATGGTTAATCCATCACATGTTTAAGAGATAATGATCCAAACTCTGTCATTTGAATTGTACGTAGGAGGGAGTGGGGTGAAGGATTGTGGTGAAGTAAAGATCTCAGTTTTCTTATTTTTCAATACTGGTAGATAATGGTCGTTTTTAGAAGTCTCCGATAAAAAACTATTAAGCTTATTTGACCAATGGTCCTTCTCATTTCGCTTTGTATTAATCTTATATATTGATACTACGAAACCTGAATGATTTTATGAGGATAATGGTAACTATATGTATTAAATAATTGTGTGAACTTCCAAAGTTGAAGTGTTCACGATTTATAGTTATAAATTAAAGTTTAATGCACGAGACTGCTTGACATGAATGTTTTAAATTGCTAATATTTCACAGTAGATAGCAGTGTACCGTTTGTTATTTCTATTCGTTGTATTTCGTTTTTCTGTATGCCTAAATCACTTTATAATTTATAGTCAGAAGGTTGTATGATATCTCATTTCTCTGTTTTATTATTGCGCTTTAAAAACATATATTGGTGTTTTTTCTAAACGAAGCTTCTGTTTTTAAACTTATCCTTCTTTTTCTTTGTATTCTGCTCATAGGTCGTCTTTCTCTTGCACCTCGTGTTGGTGGATTACATTCGAATATAAGCAACCAGCCAGTCAGTTATCCTCCTGGTTATACTATTGCCTCTGGTCATGCTCCAGGTACAACAAAGGCTCCTCCATATGACAAGGTTAAAACGATTTATGTTGATGTCGCTTTTCTACCAGGTAGTGGAAATTCAAATTATGTTGATGCTGAGTGGTTTAAACGTGTTCGAGCTCGTTACTATGTAGCCACTGATGTAAGACCAACATGCTCTCTTCTAGAGTCCTTAGTCGTAGGAAAAGAATCATGGAGTGGCGATGATGCACAACTTGATGTCTCTTTGATATTGGCTTATGAAACTGAGGAGTTATTAATATGGCTCGGTGTGAATGCTGGACGTCTCAACAATTGTCATGTTAATGTTGCCGCTGTCATTTCACGTTCATCTATCCAAATATTAAATGAAAAACCTTCAGCTTTCGGTGATGGTCCTCTTAACTATCCAGGCTATCGTATAGACTTATTTTAACCAAAAATGTATCAGCATGTCACTGACGTATATAACTAATCTTTAACTGATGAATCTCAGTCTTCATCTTTTCATCAGTTGTATCGGCTTTAAAAAACAGAATAGTATTTCATTTCTATATCTTCGTATATATATGTGTTTGTGCGTGCGTATGTATTAACAGGAGCAGCTATCCATCCATATTAGTACATCGAGAAATAGGATAGGAATCTTACAGTATGAAAGTTTTTTTTCGAAGACATTAGAAAGTAAACATTGTGTATGTGTCCCTCTGTGTATATCGTTAAACCTTTTGACTGGCTTTTCAGTTATTTTATTCGATTGATTTTTACATAGATTATTATATTTACGTTGTTCACTTGTTTCTAGTTGTTGTTTATTATCGTTATCATCTTTATTGTTGTAAGATTCAGTTAGTTTTTACCCATAAATTTGTGGAGCTGCCTCATATATGCTGTTTCTTATTATTTCTCTCGCACATACATTTATATATACATATATAGTAAATTTATTTTAATGCATCTTTCTTTTAATGTGCATCTGCTTCACGATTGACTTTCTTCACATACTCAACATTTTAACGCTTGTAATATTTCTCTCATTTTAAATGTGTGTATGACTGGGTGGAAGATGTTGCTTCTTTAATGATACAAGGACTATATATATATATATATATATATATATATATATATATATATATATATAGCCAAACGCATTTCTGTCTCTATTCTGGAGTACAAACTTACTATTATTACTGTTATTATTTATCTATTTGCCAATATTATATATATATGTATTGGTCACCGCATTCTTCTTGACACGCACATAATACATTCCTTGTTCTTATTGCTACATCATTATTATAACTCATATAATGCGTTGTTTCTTTCTTGTTGAACAATGAAATTAATAAAATTAAATCTTTATATGCATTATTCCACTTCTTGTTTTTTCCCGCATCATTTACTAATTCAAGTTATCTACACTGGTATAATGTCAGAGAATGAAGTACTGTTCATTTGGATAAGAATCAACTTTATTCTCAATACATTTCATTACTGTTGCCATTATTAAAAGAATGAAGTGTGTAATAGTATCGTTTAAGGATTGAATATACAGTTTTATGTACCCATATGTAAGTCACAAGTTTTGTGTCAGAGATAGAGATACTACTACTTGGTTCGCCATACAAAAGTAAGCGCAACAGGATTTAAACTTTGGAATTATTACTTGAAAGTTAAGGGATTTAGTCACAAAAACTCCGTTTTTGATACGAATCAACTTTGTTGACGAAGAATTTATTATTTATTTATTTTAACACATAGGTATTGGTACAAGGAGGCACCAAATACATATGCGCCACACAGATCTCATTTGATATGTGTGAGGACTGTGATACTGCACAGGTGCCCAAACCGAAGCAGGTGGTTCTCTTAGGGGGCCACACCCCGAGACTTCGACCTGAACGTCTGATCCACAAGGCAGTGGAACATCGTAAGGAGATGCAATCCTATGGTAGCCGGTGACCAACGATTGATTCATACGCCATTTGTTCCCGTAGGATACTGGAGCCCATGTACACCATTGGATTGGGATCCGGTTAAAGCCGGTGCCGGACATTCGCTTTTCGTCCTCTCATTTTCGCAAACAACAACCGTGATGCGAGAAGGCAGTGAGTAGTACTTCCCTGGCAGGGGCTATATACGCGTGGCCATGTGAGAGCATTTGGAGAGGGAGAGCGGACTCTCCCCACTCTCGGCCGTACCATGGCATTTGGGGGCGAAGTAAGTAATATAGAACTCGTCGTATCTGTTGCCTTGATATGTGATGAGGCCTGCATATCATGATCCAATCTAGGTATATTGGATGAAACTCTGGCTTTTATTTGGAGTATATCTTACCAAGCAAGTTATATATAGTAAAACTAGAAATTCCGAGAACGAAGTCGTTCTGACTTGTACAAGAGCCTGATGACAATAATGTGCTTCTCTCTGAAAAAACAAGATCACAACAGAGGTAATTGATATAGGTCTTCCCTAAGGTAGCTCACGACGAATATCCGTTATCGGTAGTGAAGCCTTTAGATTAATGAGATAACTCATTTGATGTTACTAATATATCAATTATCATTGTAGCCTTACACATCGATTTCATTATGACCTATGTAATGTGGCAATACTGCGTAATCCATACTTAATAATATGACGTTAACTTATTTCATTGTCTTTTCTAACAATATAATGACTATCTTAAAAGTCCTATCTCTGGGCTGGATTTTCTCATGTCATGATTGATGAATCGAGAATGGGTGAATTATATATGTTGGCTATCGAACACAACGTATACAGTGTATCCGAGCTAACGGACTCATCATTATTATTCGTATAGTTGGATTTATAACACGGAACAGCATAAAATTGTGGCTCATGACTTCTGCTGGTTTAAGTGTGAACGTAGTTGTATGCAACATCAATAATAACATGTGTACGGTTCACTGGTCACACCACTATATAATAGAAGTAAAGTTCATGTACTTAGTGCAAAAAACACTTAACTCATCATATATATATAGGTACAACAAGGCACCAAGTAGATATGGGTCACAAAAATCATTCGATTTGTGTGAGGGCTAGGATACTGCCCGGGTGTCAAAACCGAAGCAGTTGGTTTTCTTAAGGAGGCAACACCCGGGGCCTTCGACCTAAATGTCTGATCCACATGGCAGTGGAGCAACGTCAGGAGATACAATCCCATAGTAGCCCTTTGTCCCCTCAGGATACTGGAGCCCTGTGCACCATTGGTTTGGATTCAGGGTTTTCCATCTCCCCTAGATTGACCCAGTTAAATCACCGGACATTAGCTTTTCGTCTTCTCAATTTCCTAAACACCCCCACCACGAGGAGGCAATGAGTAAGACTTCCCTGGTGGTGGTTGTATGCATGTGGCCATTTGAGAGCATTTCGAGAGAGGGAGAGCTGACTCAGAATTGTAAAGAATAAAAATTCTTCATGTCAAACTGAAATTCCTTTTTGTTTTACCAATTATAAATTACAAAACTGTAATAAAATGATGTATTTGAAATTAGTCTGTAATAAAATGGTGTTTACATTCAGAAAACTGTTTTCCTCGGATGTACTTATTAAAAATTTAATACTTTTTCTAAAATAGATTTTATGATTCTTGTAATGAATACAAGAAATACATAATATTTTCATTTATTTGAACACATAAATCTTGGTACAAGAGGGCACTAAATATATATGTGCCACACAAAACAATGAGAATGGGAAGAGAAAAAAAAAGAGTAGGGAGCGTAAAAGAAAAAAACAAGAAGAACAATAACGACCAGATTAGCGTAAGGTAGTGTAATAATAATAATAATAATAATAATAACGAGGGGAACGGAAAGGTACAACCAGAAGAAATCTTTCAGTTAAAGAAGATACAACCACTTTTTATGAAGAAAGTAAAAGAAGGTTACTACAGGATCGTCACTGGCTTCTATTCTGAGCCATATCTAATAACGTCTCTAGCCACTGTCGTTATTTATTTATTTATTTTAACACATAAGTATAGGTACAGGGAGGCACCAAATACATATACGCCACACAAATCTCAATTGATTTGTGTGAGGGCTGTGATACTGCCCGGTTGCCCAAACCGAAGCAGATGGTTTTCTTAGGGGGCCACACCCCGAGCCTTTGACCTGAACGTCTGACCCACAAGTCAGTGGAGCATCGTAAGGAGATGCAGTCTCATGGTAGCCGGTGACCAACGATTGGTTCATACGCCATTTGTTCCCTCAGGATACTGGAGCCCATGTGCACCATTAGTTTGGAATCCGGTTAAAGCGCCGGACATTCGCTTTTCATCCTCTCATTTTCGTAAACAACACCCGTGGTGCGAGAAGGCAGTGAGTAGGACGTCCCTGGCAGAGGCTATATACGCATGGCCATGTGAGAGCATTTCTAGAAGGAGAGCGGACTCTCCCCGTTCTCGGCCGTACCAGGGCATTTGGGGGCCACTGTCGTACCATCTCTCGGACCCCAGCCAAGGAGTCGTGAAGGACTAAATGCCCTAGTATGGCCGGGATTGGGGTGGGCCCACCCACCCCCTCGAAATTCTCTCACATGGCCACGCGTATAGATTCTCTGCCAGGGAAGTTCTACTCACTGCCTTCTCGCACCACGGGTGTTGTTTACGAAAATGAGAGGATGAAAAGCGAATGTCCGGCGCTTTAACCGGATTCCAAACTAATGGTGCACATGGGCTCCAGTATCCTGAAGGAACAAATGGCGTATGAACCAATCGTTGGTCACCGGCTACCATGAGACTGCATCTCCTCACGATGCTCCACTGCCTTGTGTGTTAGACCTTTAAGTCAAAGGCTCGGGGTGTGGTCCCCTAAGAAAACCACCTGATTCGGTTTGGACACCCGGACAGTATCACAGCCCACACACAAAATGAAAACGACGATATTTACATAATAACTCAAGTATTCTTCATTTAGTCGAAGAGGTTTATCAGAGACTGATTCAATATTGTAAATTGTATTCGTTACAGATTAATCTTAGCGTATTATTGAAAATCACAAATCACTGGAGAGTTGTTTTACTCTTCAGTATAAGTTTTTTCAACAGTGTGCACTCATCACATCACTCGGAATAGAAATTAGGATCTTCAAATTTCGTGAGAAACTCAACTACATGAGGATTATCCATCCATTTTTTTCGTGATGTGAAGTATTATAACATGGTTGTACGATAAATTATCAATAATACTAGCTAAGTGGTTATAGTTGTATGAAAAGTTTTTTTTAATCATTCACACGTGAAGGGAAGGTAGTAGTCAAACCATAGCTCTGGAATTTATAATAAAATTATGAGATGAATAATAATCGGTTTATGGGACTATAAATCTTAATTAACTTGAATGACTGAGACATGAGTTACAGATGCTTAACCACCGCCCACTCAAGTCGTGGATTGTTGGCTACCTTATGAATAGGTTTAAAATAGATGAGGTAGTCAAACTAAGACTGACTGTAGATATGAACATAAAGGTACACATATCTTGTTTAAAGTCTTCGTAATTATCATGGTCCATATTTGATGACATCGGTGAAAGTCAGTTGTATAGAACCAGATGTATCCATTCTATATCCCTAGTTTTCATATCGATCATTAGAATTCCTTGGATTTAAAACTTTTTTGTTTGATTGTATCATTTTCACGGGTACTACTATCATTTTGACGTTTATTAATTTTCATCCTGATTGTTCTCTTTCCGACTGTGTTGTTATGAAACATGGTAACTTGAACCTATGTTTATTTGTGCCAAATTGTACGTTGTCTACAATTAACTGAACTTGTTGTTACTTCTACTACTCCGGAATTTATCTTGATCATCTCAAATATCTATGCCTAAATAGTGTGGCAACTTGAACTGACTGAAATATATGTCAAGTTTTACATTGTTTATGACTGACGGAGCAGGTATATCGAATTCATTTGTTAACTGAAGTAAGGTTGATATTATGTCTACCATTGGAAAATAGATACAATAGTTTAGTGAATATCAACAAATATTTCATTTCAGTGTATCATACAAATTCTCTTGTTCAACAAACTGATTTATATCCTTCTCTTATATCATATACATGTGTATGTTAGAGGAGAG